GCTGTTATCACTTAACAGTGACCTTACACTAAAATCACTATCACTTTCAATTTGATCTTCATTGTCAGCTACGGCCAACGATGAAACTTTATCCTCAGACGCCGGATTGTCAACAAAGTTTGGCGATATTGGTGGGTGCACAGTTTTAAAAACTAAATTATAATCACTTATTGCACCGCTAATGTTTCTTTGTATTTGTCTATCTCTAGATTTTTTCATTTTTTCTAAATATTTAACTTAGAAAAATGTATTCCATTTAAATGACATGTTGGCCATCCTGCGTTTAAGTTTAAGTTTAGCGGCGACAGATGAATTGGGTCATCGTAAAAATGCACGAATTTACTACGTGTAAATCACGAGTATTTATTCAATGTCGAAGCTAAAAATACACGTATTCGATACTCGTGTTTTAATGTGGAATATACACGTGTTTCATGAATTGTTTAGATTTAAGTATTTTGTAGCCGAGAAAAACACGAGTATTACCAAAAAAGTTACACCAGTTTGACACGGACACCTAATGCATACGATTTTACACCAATTTAACACGCGGAATTCTCGGGTTGAGCTGCTAGGGACACTAAGCGCAGAAAGCAGTAAATTGCGTGAAACACAAATCCTCCGAATGCAAAATGGACAAAGGTGCTTTGCCTCTTGGACAATTGGACATAAAACACTTTTTGTCGCCGAACTGACACCCGGAGTGGGATTGGATTTCGATTTCGAAACTGGTCTACGAAGGTTTTGAAAACGTGCCACATTTCTAAAAATTACTGAAACTTATTTAGTAAGTAAATGATTTTATACATACATACATGAATTTACATATGATCATTCAAGCAGTTGTCCTACTCGTTCAGAGAATGTCTAAAAACAAAACCAAGAATAAAACAAGATACAATGCTTTGAATAAGGTGGGCATATGACAAAATTAAATTATTCATTTAAATGGGATACATTTACCAGAAGTATGGACAAACTTAGGATTAGCTTTTAAAAAGATGGCACAAATTTTTATGATAGAATATTTACGATGGTAAAAAGGTTTATGATATAGCCTTCAATGGAGTAAATACTTATCCGAATTTAATTTTTTGACCTTTAAGCTCGAATGTAAGGAAGTTACATATGTATTTTTGATATTCAGATATGTGGCATGGTTGTTCCAGAGGCAATGTATGTACATACGTACAAGTATGTATAATTAAAGTTATCTAGGTACATGAGAACCAATTTAAATAGAAATGCAAAATGTTGAAAGCAACTGGCTATACATCCAAGGCTTGAATACTTAAATAAGTCCCTAATTAAATGAAATTAAATTAAAATCCATAACAAACAAAGTAAGAAATTCGTCTGGAATATTCTAAGGAGGAAGGTTTCGCTACTGGCCCCTGTCAGATCTTGATGTCCTTTGGATGTCTCGTAGTACCCCAAGAGTGAACAGAAATCTACAACTGGCTTGACGCCATGGCCACACGTGCGCCTGCCAAACCCACTCAAAAGAAGCAAAAAATCCCTGTTTACGTTCGTTCCAACCTTGATATAATTTTTTAGTTATTTCAAGAAAATTCCTGCATTATTGTGCAGAGGTGTTTTGTCGTATGCAGTATTAAATTCAAACGTTTTCGAAAAAATTGAAAACATTTTTAAAACTTGACTTTGATATTATAAACGAACTATCTGAAGTCACAATTATGCTAGAGTTTTCAAAATCCGAGCAAAACATGATTTTTTGTAAGCCCAAAAAAGGCACAAAGGTTTTTTTTCGTTTGAGTGGGTGTGGCGAGCGCAAACAGACACATGGCATAGAAGCACTGCAGATTATCTGTATTATTCATTCAAGGCCTGGCATAAAACAGCAAAATGACAAATATCCAAGTGCCATCAAGTGTGAGATGGGCAAGAATTCAAGGCTTTCCACATTAGTTTCTTAATGCTCGATTTTTTTAACCATTAATATGAGTATATATTAAATATTAAGAAGAAAAAGTACCAAAGTCATGTCGGCGATTTTGACCAGTAGCCAGCGTTTTTATTATTTATTATTTTGATTATCTCGTACATAATATAGGAATATTCAAAACTATTGGAAAGTAAAGAAAATGAGTTGAACAATGGGGCAAGGATTGGCGAAATCGAGTTTCTAATCGATCCTAACCTCCATGCAAAGCCTAAAATTATATATAAATTTTCTTAACATACTGGTGTATTTGCATAAATATCACTTTTCATTGGATGTAGGGAAACAATTCTTTCGCATGTTTACATATAATTTTGCTACTAAATATTAGCCTTTGAGATGTTCAAATTCGTAAATAAATGTTCAACCCATTTTTTGCGAACTTGCGTCCTTTGTTTTTGTTAGTGGCGCTAACGATAAAAACTTGTAATAAATAGAGTTAAATTTAATGCACCACCGAATTAGTTGAAACTTGCCACAATTTTTAGCTGAATTTGCCACTGGATGAAATTTTTCCAACTTTGGCCTTTTTAGCCACCAACTTAGATGGTGGTTAAAACAAAATTAGATGAGCTGCCATTAAGATATTTGATGACGTTAAATATGGATATAGGATACAAATACAATGCACAATTTGCAATACTATGATTTACTGATTTATAATTATTTGCCTATATAGTTTTAAAATGCAACTGAAATAACAATGAGCGCTTTTTTAGTTTTACAGCTTTAACACTTTTCACCCAATGGAACGGTTTTAGCTTCCGGTCGACCAACATCTAAAGCGTATTCTGGATTGCTAAGTCAACTATATGCCAACCGTGTTCTATTAAATACACACGGGACGTGAACATGTAGAATTAGTCCATTGATTGGTGTGAACCATCCATAATCTTGTGACGCTGGCGACGCAGGAATCGAAAATTGTTGATGACCTGTCCGTATTCACCCGTAATGTAATCCGCAATTTGTAAATTTTCTTCTTACACCATCCTCTTTCAAAGGAGGTTGGCGTGAAAAAGAGACAAAATAATGCCTAACGTTTGGTTCATCTTTAGATGTATTATACCTGGTGCTTGGTTTTGAATTATTCCAATTGAAAGCATCGGTCTCAAGTCTGAGCGAAATATTTGGAAATTGTAAATATTTTGTGGTTTTTATATGCAGGGTCTCTTTGCTGCGATCAATCTTTGGTTTGACTTAACATATAGGAGATGACAAACGAGTCATCTTACCCAAGCAACCTCAATGCGAATTTACTGCGAATCCCAATGCAAGTTTATGCAATTTTTGTGCATAAAAAGTTGTAACCATTAATTTGTACAAGATTCGTGCAAAATTTGTATCAATTTTTGTGCTGCTAATAAATTAGCACAAGAAATCCACGAAACTATCACAAATTAATTAGTAGCAAATTATTACAAAGGAACAAGTGAAGATTTAGTGCGTATTTGTTAGCACTAAATTTTCATGAGATTTCTTGCACCAAATTCATGCATAATTCGTACCTGGGAAATTGTACAAACTCAAAATGCAGTAAACAGGTGCCAGCATATTCACACAAAATTTGTACCGATTATTCTGCAATAATTTACTACTAAATTAGTATCATTTTTCTATTCGCGATTAAATAAACAAACCTCAAGTCAGTTATTCTTTTTGCCATGCCGTGACATCAACTCCATCATCTCTTCTCCATTTTTAATTTCCAACCAAAAAATTTGTTTCGACAGTTATGGTCGAAAATCAAAATCCTATTTCGGATAAAAGTTCGTATTCCTCGAGTTTGAAGGCGACAAATGAGTGGAGATTGTGCCGTCTACGTGGATTTGGATTTGGACGACTCATGGCATGTGATATGTCGAAAAATACGGTAATTACATATATACATATTGTTGTTGGCTACTTTTGCATTAATATATATTCGGGTTATTTATGTAAATATACGTTTTGCTTAATTTATAGATTCATACGTGGGGAACACATACAAGGAATAAACCTATCGACTCATGTGATAACGGCAAACGGGATAGCCCTAAATTATCAGCAAAAGAGCCTGAGGTGAATAATGAGGCATTTCTCAGGAATTCATTTTAATTTAGTCTTTCTCTATACGCCGAAAGTACGTATTCTACCGAATAATTTCGGTAGTTGTCGTTATTGACAATTGCTGCTTGGGTAGTAATTGTCAATAATATTGGAGTTGACACCAGTATGCCAGAGCGTTTGTGCTTATAATTAAGCATTGAGTGGACTACGGATTTACCAATGGTACTTGGGATCTGTGAATTGTTGTTTTCCAGCGCCTGGAGGCCTCCAAGGGAAACAATTGGTGGATGGTTTGTGAGCGATGATAGGCCAAAAAGCTTTTAGTTGAGTTGTTGAGCTGTTGAGACAATTTTGCGTAACTCGGTTAGAATCATTCTTGTTTTAGTAATCCCCACTCCACTAATTTAACAATTTCGTCTTTCATACTTTGGCTGATGCCTAAGATAATATCAAATGTAATATGTACGTCAGTTCATATGTATGTGTTGCATATGTCGTACAAATATGTCCATATATATCCGGATAATTAAATTATAATTATTTAGAGATTATTGTAAATTGTGCATTGTATTTGTATCCTGTATCCATATTTAACGTCATCAAATATCTTAATGGCATCTCATCTAATTTTGTGGTAACCACCATCTAAGTTGGTGGCTAAAAAGGCCAAAGTTGGAAAAATTTCATCCAGTGGCAAATTCGGCTAAAAATTGTGGCAAGTTTCAACTAATTCGGTGGTGCATTAAATTTAACCCTAATAAATACTGGTCTGGTACTCATATTTTTTTATTCTGTAAATCTTAATTATTATGATAACCTCATGTTCTAAAAAATGTGTTGGCCAACGCTAATTTAAACGTACCTACATACATATTTTTTCAACGAAAAAAACGAATTTCATCTCAACCCAAATGAAAGTTTATGATTCAAAATCTTTTCTAATCAATTTCTATGCATGTTAATGAATTAAAATCTTGGCTCGCATCGCTACAGTATTAAACTTTTTATTAACAATCGTTTTTCATGCAAAGAGAAGTAAAATGTTAAATCAGAGATATTCCATCAATTAAATAAATTCTGCATCAAGGTTGGTAATTACAACATTGTAATCCAGCATAGCACTCCCCAGGCCCTTGGTGCAGGTCGAAGCCATCATCGGCACAAAAGTCCGAGCAAATTGTTCCCTCCATCTGCATTGTCATGAGAATTGTGCACTCCTCTCCAAGCCCTTGCGAATCTACATGCATGATCATACATAAATTCAATGAGATAATTGCAATATCGAACTTTATTTACACATAACTACACTTGGCACACACATTTCTGAACAAATCGAGTCAAAATTGGTTAAGAATCGAAATTATTTACGAAAAAGTCAGTGTAGGGAATTAGAATTGGACTCCAAGTAGATAGTTGCATCATAGGTGCCTTGCAAAAAGCCCAAACAATTGTACAATATTTTATTAAATTTATGAATATTTATTTATTTATTTCTGAAAAACATGCTGGATGTGAATTCCACAAATTATTAATCAAACATTACATATTTCCTTAAGGGAAATCGTGTTAAGGAAATTGTTTAAATACATATGTGTAAATTCTTACCAATCTTATCAATCAGGGAAATCAGGATGAAAACGGATGCAAAAATAATCAACCTCAAAACTTGAATCGATTTCATTTTTATCATAAGAATTTTTCACAAGTTTCTGAAAATAAGTATTTATATCTGTTAGGAGAAAATATAAAAGTATCCAATTTTTTCTTTCGACTTATATATACATATATTGCCTGAAAAAATTGGGTTGACGTTGACGTTAACGTGAGTTATTTCTGGCATGGAAATTTGTTCTTTTCTTTGTTCTTGTCCTAAATATGGGAAGACAATGCACAGGTTACTAACCAAGAATTAATTGTACCCGAATAATAAAATGTATTTGGGTTTTGGTTTACAATACTTTTATTATATAAATTTTATTCTTTAAGGTATGAGGAATTGGAACTACATAAATGAGCACAAATGTATTTATTTGTGTATGCTATTAGAAATCCAGCATTAAAATAATACCAAACGGTATTCATACATATATTTACGTTTGACTTAACAAAAGTGGTCGTGATAAGTAATACCGCATGGTTACAGCAATGCCACATTTTTACTACTGGTATAATGTTATTTCCAAGTGGTAGCGAACACCGAGAAATCAATACTTGAGTGACATGAACATATGTAAGTACAAAGAAGTTTGTAAATAATTACCAACGTGCTTGTCTGCGCTACGATTTTTGAAATTTCAGGGTAATTTTATATGTGCAAATATGTATTTAATATTATGCGTTTATTTATCTGTGTGTTAGTATTTAAATAATGCCTACCTTTTATTTTCGTATTGATAATTCAAAATTTGCTGTTTTTGTAACAATTGGCTGAAACCCTATGTACTCCTGGAGGCGTAATACATTAATTGCTGAATTGACAAGAGATGCCGAATATCGACTTGTTTACGACGTGTGTGACCACATTTTCAATCGTGAAAACATGTTTTTCCCACTACTTAATTGATTGACATTGATAAAACCGAATAATTAATTGATAACTGCATACATTGAGACAAACAAAATACTCAAAGTAGTTTTCCATTCGCTGTTCAACTTGGGTATATAAACGACACAAACTTATTTAAATAAAGCTTTGAATTAAGAAGCATAAGATGATCAAATTTGGTACTTGTTTAGTCTTGGCGATATGGACCGTTGTGTTTTTGTCTGCAGAAGTAAGAAGAGAGTATTCTTGGTATCCTTAGTATTCTTCGTATTGTAAAATAAGTTACATCGGTTAAGAGACTTTTTTAGCGTCATAAGATTTTATCTTAAAAAATAGTTACCTACGTACATACTAAGGTTACAATTTTCACGAAGCTAACCCTTCCTGTTCTCTTAGTAAACTGTTTTACGATACTCAGGATACGAAAATAATTGTGAATATCAGTATATTTATTTACATAGGTACTCTGCAATTGCCAGTGGAATGTGTATGACGTAAGCTACCAAGACGCGTTGGGCATACTCACATCAACGTGTTTAGTATTTCGCATCGCAAATCATTCAGAAAATAGCGAAATAAATAAATAATTAAGATGAATAAAATAAAAACTGTGTATTATAGCAATTTGAATTTTCCAACAAAAATGTAATTGTTTTCAAGCAAAACGTTTGTCAGAATTTTATACAAATTTCAGAAAACTAAAACTTGTGCAGGTTATATGTTAACACATTCAGATTTAAAGTTTATGTTACGCTGACCAAAGTTATCGTGGGTATGCTCAACCTTATGCTTATAAATAGCTTACAATATTAACCTCTTACATTTCCTCAGGTTTCCCATGTTATCTTCGAGCACCAAATTTGTGGAGACGCAGCTCAGAATGGTGTGTTCCGGTGCACAAATGGGGGTGCCACCGCCACCTATGTGCTTTCATCATCATTTTTTGATGCCAGGAGATGTGGTGATGATGATGATGCGGAGGTGCCATCCCCCAGGTGGGCCAAATGTACACCGCGTTATTTGGTTGGCTCTCCCCGTTCTTCCATAAGCGTCACTCGAATACATAAGATCGATTCTTCTGGTAGAATCTATATTCTGTGGGAGAATGGGCAATTTCAATAATTGCGTAACCCAGCAATACTTGCAGTAATGGGCCGACTAAAGTCAAGGCCAAGAATATACGATCTCTAATGCACGAATTTAGAATTTTTTCCAGCACTTTTACACTTCTATAAAGTGACAACTTCCCATCTTGTCCCTCAAGTCCTTTACAGTCCAGCCATAAACAGCCATGCCCGTGCCAGTGGTCGAGATTACGTAGTGCGCGCCTGAAACAGCAACAGTTTGATATCCAACAAACTCAAGAATGACCAATCCGACCGGAATCAATGTCCCGTTCCATTCTGAGTTGCACAACAATGAAGAAAACAAGGGTGGAAAGCACGGCCAAATAATGCACAGCAATGCCACGGAAATGGGGACAAGCCAACTTCCAGAGTAGACCAGATTCACTAGTATGGCTAAGCATTTATGTAGCCTCCCCGGGAATACCTTTGTCTGCAAGTTGTAAATATTTAAGTGACAGTCTATAACTTTTGAAATTTTTACAGATGTAGATTTTACAGTAGATTATACAGACCTTTCCTGGCCTCAATGTAGTTTAACAGTTGACCCGGCGTGGGATCTCGATTGATGTCGAAAAGGAGGAAGAATGCTAAAAAGTAGGCGCCACTCAACGCCGTTCCCACAACGGCCTGATAAAATGTGACGATTTCATTAAAATTGATACCATTTGGCATACAAGATGGAAGGCGTGGAAAGTAATCCAAAAATATGTTACGGTTTGTTTCCCTGTTTTGGTCGGTATGAACAGATCTTTGTCTTTATTGAACGTTAGAAAGAGACAGTTGTAGAAGTCTGCAATTTTGAGGAAGCGTTTGATACCGTGGAATGTATGGGAAAACATTTTTTGTAGATTTTAAGGCTTAATAAGTATTGGGTGTACAAATATGTAGAATGTCTGGGAAATTTTAGGAGGCAGTTCAATTCAGGCAGGTCTACATTTAAGTTTACTTAAAATTTTACTGCTCAAGATTTACCAGAACGACTTACTCGAGATCGGAAGTGAAATGTTTGAACACGTGTGTATAACATACACACGTATTTTAGTGCAACTTCGCTAGTTATTGACTAGTAGTCAGTTAAGGTGGTATAGTATGCGGGTTTTGAGTTTGAATTGTTGATTGTTGAAGGCGATTTTGAAACCTGTTCATCTCCGTGAGTTTTTCACAATATGAAGATTTTAATGCACCTAAAAATTGTTGATTTTTACAAAGTTAGAATGGTGTGATGTTGATTTTTGTCTTCCAAGAGAAATATTTAAGTTTTACTGATTATTTTTCGTCTATTTTATATTTATTTTCTCAAAATCTCCATTTGAATATATGGAAGAAGGGAAAGTTGAGACACAACAATTTAAACTCAAAACCCGTATACTATACAACCTTAACATTTCCCGTGTGTTCCTCTGTACATTATGTGTCTACGTACATAACAAGTGATATCAAATCAAGCCGTATTTTATTCAAGTGTAAATATGTACGTATCGGTTTGCAAAACTAGCTCTAAATAAATATATGTATGACACAGGAAGCCGCTAAGCTATTATGAATGTGTGTAAATATTTAAACGGTATCAAATATACATATAGGTAAGTATGCTAATACCAAATATAGATTCCACTTGCATTGAGTTACTTCAAAGTTGAGTCAATATTTCAAAATTTATTTTGTCCAATATTTCTTCATTATATACATCTGTATTTGTGCATGCACACATTTGCAAATGTTACAATTTAATCTGACTAATATCGCAAATTCTGCGCGTCAAGGGAGTAAGTACGTATTCCTTGATGTGTTTGATCGGCGCGTAGTTTCGATGTTTATTCGGTTGTGCAATAAAATTAAGATGCGCGTTGCTTAATGAAAAAGCATATTTTTTAATGTATATAAATTCAAATTTTAAAATCATAAATAGTCTTAATCATAATTTTAAAATCATAAATCAATTTTAAAAATCATAAATTCAAATTTTAAAATCATAAATAGAATCAACAAAAATAGACATAAGCATGAATTGAATCCGTTAAGTTATTTTACCCCAACAATAGCAAATTAACGATTTGTATAGAGCAAAAATGCTGCACGACCAGCGGTGTCAACTCGTCCACGAAATTATTCCCAAACCTCAATCTAACCTGGGTCAGGGATCTTGCAAATCTTGTCTCCAATTTCCCCCTTGCCCTGATCCTAACTCCGTCCAAGTAATCGGCACTTTTCGAGTAAAGTTTTGCCGACCCGGTGAACAACACCATGTTGAAAAGGATGCCATCCACCATCCCAAAAAATACTACGAGCAGATGGGTCAGCTGCATGGCGTCGAAGTGCTTCACGCATGCGTACGTCGTAATAATTTGGATGCCTGGAACCGTCGCGGCGAAGACGGGAAAGATTCGGAATCGCGTGCATGAATTCAAGAGCTGTTCAAAAACTTGGACTTGCCTGGAAAAAATAAAAAAAAATGATATTGCGGATACAATTCGTTCGCTAATTTACACTGTTAGAACTCTGGTATAGTCAAGCAGGTATTGATTCCTCAGTATTAAAGTTACTAGCGCTAGGTATTAAAATTATACATCCGTAAAACATTGGTACAGATATGGAAAAACTTTAATAACGAGCTATATCAGGACGACTTTGATAGAGTCATATAAATACCGCTTGGTATTATTTTAATACTGGATTTCTAATGGTGTATGTAGTCAATTGTAAGAATACAAATAAAATTCTGATCTGTATGTAGCTTACCTATACCTTTTGCTGAATTTTACCGTGTTATCTTCACAAATTTTCTTCAGCTCGATCCACAAATGGATTGTTCCCGCCATGAGAGTATAAATGGAGTAGAAGCCTCCCGACAGAATCATGTATAAGAGTTGTTTCATCTCGAAAATAGCCAAGAGAATTCTGACACCGGCAAAATACATGCCTGCTGCATGAATGGGTGTGTCACACTGATTCCTGGGTAGAATAGCGGACCCAAGGAAGGGAAGTTGGCAAGGAAATATCAGAATCATAAGGGCAGTCCCGAACGGAATGATGAATTCGGTCCCTGTCACCAGAATGCTGAATAGGTTGTTTACACGTGTCAGTAGTTTTAGTTAATTGCACACCTGGAAAATATTAACATAAATTGACTGTAATTACAAGATTAGTGAAGAATTAAGCCTTGCACTTAGAATGAAAATTGACACCTTATTGATCGCTTAGGAAATGCATAGGTTAATTATTCATGAAGATTTCACAAGGCAATTATGTGCATCATGAGATGAATTTTATCGATTTTTACGGGGTAAGTTGAGACGACCTGGCCTTCGCTCCCTCAAATGGAGTCCTCTTTTTACGTCGCTGGTAATGCTAATACATACCTTTTTATGAAATTCTTACCGGAATTTACACCATTTCCATCTTCCCCAAGAACGACATTGATCAACTGAATGGTTGCCATGTCAGGTCCCCATTCATACGTGAATCCCACCCCGGCCAAATACAGCAGCGTCGAAAATAAGGGGACAATCTTATTCGCCGTGTCAACTTTTGATGTCCAAAGGGAGACTAATTGGAAAGCGATGTAGACAGTATTTCCCGCCGTGAAAGTTCTCCCAATATAGCGTTCCCTTCGCCTCGAGGGGCCCACCCTGTTACGAGCCTTGTCCCAAGTGTAGTGAAACCCATGGGACAAGTCGGATAGGGAAAAGTGTCGTTTCAAATGCGTAATCAACAACCGTCCCAACATTCTATTTGCTACTGAGATTATCCAGGAAATAGGCCTGTAAATATATGAGCCAGGAAAATATGGAATTATGTATGTACATTAACGTGTCAAATATATGATATGTGAAATGTATTTAACCATATCCACAAGGTTGACTTGCGGAGATGATTAGATAATTAAAGTGGAGTGTGGAGTTTAATTAGTGTTAAAGCATTTGGTTGTTAAAGTGAAAACACTCGACAGGGTTTCTCACGTCAAGTTTGACATGTGGAAATAAATTTTGTATAAATATGATTTGGGAGAGAATTAAGTTTTATATTAATTGATAATGACAATGTCAAAGTTTGCGGGAAACAGACGTATAATGAAGGCCTCCCGGTAGATGTTTTCAGGTTTTGGCCAAATTAGTGTCAATCGATTACAAATTTAATTTACAGGGACATTATCTGCCAATGCTCAGCCTTCGTGGAAATACTAAGTAGGTACTTGGGGCAGCCTTGGGCATATAACTTAAGAATAAATTAAAATTATGACGTAATTATGATTTACTTAATTTATAGGTTATTCAGGAATAAGTCATAGGAACTTCAGATGTACATATAGGTAATTACAAATCAAGTCCCCGTATATCTTTATCAGTATTTACATCCAAAGTGGAAAGAACGTCTCATAAAGTTGAAAAAGTTTATTTTCAAAATCTGCTGCGCGTTTTCTCCTCTTCGGATGCACATCTCTGCCAAACTTGGCCATTAGGGGATCGTGCTTTTTGCAGGTTTGAGATTAATTAAAATCGTGATCACTTCATATGTATTAATTTGATTAAAATTGGAGAATACCTCCAATGTTATTTAGCTAAACTTTACGTAAATAATTCACTGGTGCTGAAATTGAGTCGAATCGTTCAAATTCCGAAATAATAGAAAATTCATCGCCTACGCTGTTCGAAATCCGGGTGACGCTTACTCGAAACCCTGGTCTAATTATTTCTGAACTAAATTGATCCACATTAGATTCCGCCATTTGGTTTAGTTCCAGCTTTGTTATTCAGACTGGCATAAAATTACCGGATGTCTTATCTTTCAAGGAAATCAGTTTATTCGAACTTAATAAATAAAGTAGTACGAAATCATTGTCACCATTACGTCGTAGACATTTCCGTCTTAACGGGTGACCAAATTATGTCCGAGTGATTAAGTATGTATCACTATGAGAATAGCGGCATGATTCGATTTTCCAAAGTAATTAACAAAACTTGGTGATGCGAAGTGAGATTGCATATTTAAGTTAGCAGTTTGATTGTGGTACATAAATAGATACGTATTTACCTGGGATTTTGGAGCTGTGTCGCAAAACGAATGTGTAGGAAACTCTAATATTCAGTTCTTTAATGAAAGTTAAAGTTTATAAAGTTGACCTTTAAAAATTACGATTAATATAAATTACGTACATTTTCTTATGCAAATTAGTCGAGAAGCATGTCAAGCTTAGTGTACAAATTACGTTTTAGAACGAGAATGAAAGAGTAGCTTAAAGTGAATGCTGATTAAATCTTAAAGCTGCTGAATTAAATAAACTTTAGTGTTAATTAGCACAGTGAAAGTCGTAAACTATGTATGAATATGATAATTGAGAACGCTTAATGTCGAATTAGAGTTAATTAATGTCATTTATCTGTGTCTAACGCGTTGGCTGAGTGTTTAATATTGTGCACGTGTACATAAATTTAACGTAGGAACGAAACATACTTCCATAAATAAGTATATGGATACATACTTTTAAAGTGTATGCACTCATCTCAAACGGCACGAAGCGATTACTCCGCAATAAATATTTACGTTTTGCTTATTAGCTTTCACTTTCTTGTGTCAACTGGATGCAAATGAGATTGACGGATTTGGCGAAAAATAAATTTTCACCAAAATGGTAATTAAATGTCATGAAAATATTTGACTTTATATACACACATATGTACAAATGTAAGTGTATGCACATATGTACAGTATGTAACTTATTTAATGCTACGATTTTTAATTTCAAATTCAACTTCAATTTTCTCGAGAACAGGTTGATATTTCAAAATTGTTTTCATACCAATTCTTCACCATATATTGGACTACATTTAGGTAAATTTTCAAAGGAATGGAGATAAAACTGTTGAATCCACAAATATTTTAATATCAAAATATTGCGAATTGCACGTTACATAATTAATGCTACGGGGGTATGAGCGGTTCAATATTTCGTCAGACCCCAATAACTGATTGAAATCGTTTGGACATCTAATCCACAAACCCTTCGGTTACGCTATGGTCGATGTTTGTTAACTTTTCTGTGATGACGGGTGTGCCGGGGAGCCGTGCTTGTCAGTTTTAGTGTTGTCACCAGACGCTGCAGAATTTTTGGGTTATGGTCGATCGAGTTGAGGTCAAGAAATTTGAAATTCAGTCCAAAACCTTTGTATCATTGTCCTTGATGCATTTTGAGATGATTTTTGTAATATTTGTCTAATATCCGACGTTTCTGAAAATAAATCTCTGACCAAAGTCTGTCTTTGTTGCGAATTGGCCAATATTTATTTCTAACAAATCAAGGTAAACCTCTTTGGTCATGATCCCAGCGACGCACGTCAATGTTACTACCCTGAGGCAACATAAACTGCCCCAAAACATTATCTCCTTGCAAGATTTCGAAAGTTTCACATCAGGATTTGGCGGTACAAATAGCCTAGATTTCCTTATCTCTGCTATGTTTGATAGCTTGTCTCAGAAATCAATTTCTTAAGACTTATTTGGGCTCCTTCCGCACTCTTATCGTTCCATCTGAGCTAAAAAGTTGAATTAGGGTCTAATCTGAGAAAAAAATTGTTTCCGGTAGCCATGGAATCATCTTCTCTTTACATTGCCCACGAAAAGCGTTTCTTGTGATTATTCGCTAAGGTGTATGGTGTGGAATTTGGAATTTCCCCAGATATTCCTGCGAATATCAGCCTGTGTCTAATCATTCATAGGTGTACAGCAGTACAACGGTCACTTTGAACATCTTTCGCAATTTCTGGCGCGGACAGACAAGCATTATTGTCACTGTTTTTACAATCGTCGCGTGCGGGTGTGGTGTTTTACTGGGTTTACGACTCTGACGGTTACAATTCGCTACAGGTCCTGTAGTTTTCCTTTCTCCGGTGAGCCTTGGAACAGATCCTGCGTGTATTCTAAATTGTTTCCAAGGTTTCCTTAAAGTTAGGCGTTATTAATGGAGGGAGGTCACTTTCCCAATATTTTGATACTGAGAACGGTGTCCTTTGTTATTTATTTATTTTAATTCGACAAATTATTTTCATTTGCAGCAGAAATACTACAGAATTGTTTATCCGTTCGAAATTCTGCTCTGTATTTAGGAAAGACTGCAAATTTGTACCGGTTGTGTATCGTAGCATTAATTATGTAACGTGCAATTCGCAATATTTTGACATTAAAATATTTGTGTATTCTACAGTTTTATCTCCATCCCTCTGAAAATTTGCCTCAATGTAGTCCAATATATGGCGAAGAATTGGTATGAAAACAATTTTGAAATATCAACCTGTTCTCGAGAAAATTGAAGTTGAATTTGAAATTAAAAATCGTAGCATTAAATAAGTTACATACTGTATATGCCAAAAAATATATTGTTAAAAAATCCTGTTGTTTTGATGTACATATTTTGAAGGTGGCATTTTAAGGATTTTACTCTATTCACTAATTTTCCGTCAAAAAAGCATAAGGCGCCGTCCATAAATTACGTAACGCTGGGTAGCATGGGTAAGATAGGGTTTTTTCCCTATCCTGCTCATGTCAGCCAGCGTTACGTAATTTATGCACGGCGCCTAAGATCCTTACTTATAGGTAGATTAAGCATTTTGTTCGGATAGGACATTTTCCTATGAATATTTTCAGGGTGGTATGCCGACATCGATCATTCTCCACTGCTGGTCATTCGCAACTAATTCATTTGCAATTTTAATGTGCACCCAAAGATTTTTTGCTTAAAAAAGCAACTGGTATTTCCCAGTCTCACACTTTATCACTAATGACGAAATGCATACATGCATTTAACTAAATATAACTTTCAACGCAACAAAGGCAAAATTCAATTAAGAGTATGATAACTGCTACATAGATCTCCATGAACTATAACTATGTATTCTGCCGCCGTTCCCACTCGCACAAGCGTAAGCACGCAAACACAATGAAAAAAATTGACTTCATAACTATGCATTTATATCTTACCAATCGTTTTGTATCTATGTACATAGTTAGGGACCCTAACTTAGGGTCTAATAATTTCCGTAACTTCTGTTACAAACCTTCGTGAGTAAATGTTTCAAGATCTTCATTAATTTTTTCTTGCAAGTTTAGCAATGTTGATTTTGAGAACCCAAGAACTGAAGAACCAAATCTGTTTTCAAATTATCATGTGAGTATGCACCACGTTATCGTACGATTACAGGTATTTCTCCAGCGCTGCACGAAATACCAGGATGCTTAATTAATGGAAATATGCATATGCTTATCCAATTACTTTAACGATTGGCATGGCACGTGTATCTTAATCCCCCAGTTATTGAGAAAAATATTTAGCATGTCCCATTACCAAACTGGGGCCATTAAAAAAAATAATGTAATCAAAATTGCAAAGTTAGTGTGGGGAAAATTTCATATAAATCAAACCGTGGGAAAGAGTGATCTCAGTCCAAATTTGAGCACATTCTGCTGGACGAGATGAAAATCTGTGTCGTTGGTGGAGGGTAATAATTTCTATATATTTGAAGTTAAATTTCTAGAATTGCGGAGTAAACTTACCGCGATTGCATATTTATGAATTAACCCTTGCTTTCAGACTGTCCGGAATTTGTGCTGGAGTTAAGCTCAAGACGAAGCTGGGTCTGAATGAATTTACCATTTTTGATGAAAATGCGGATTTTGGAGGAGTTTGGTTTACTCATACGTATCCAAAATGCGCGTGTGACGTGACAACGCAGAGCTATAGTTTTTCATTTGCTATAAATCCAGGTACAGTTAAAAAAAATTGAACTAAAATATAACTATGGTTTGTATTTTATGATTACACCCTTTTCTTCACAAGAAATTCATACAAAAAATGGTCCTGCCGAAATACTGAATAACAAATATATTTTGTGCCCCAGACTGGACCAAGACGTTCCCCAAACAACCCGAGGTCTTGGCATACTTGCACAGCATTGCTAAAAAATACGATCTTTACAAAAATGCCAGATTCAACCACCAAATTCAAACTTTGACCTGGGTCAATAACGCCAAAAAGTGGAAAGTAGTTAGCTTTAATAAAGAAGCAGGAACTACAGAAGAATGGATTTTTGACATTGTGTAAGCAAGCCGTACTAAAAATATACGATTAAATTTCCGTTCCCGGTCTGAACCAGGAATATCTGGTCCTCTTTACTTTGTGAACAAAGAGATCGAGTCGCTATACCTAACTAATTATACACGATCTATATTGTATACAGAATTGCTGGGCCAGAGCCTTTCCACGTGCCGCATATTCCAGAAAAATTCAAGTCCTTCGCCGGCCCGGTCATCCACTCGGCCAAGTGGGATAGTTCCGTCTCCTTAAAGGATAAAACGGTCGCCGTCGTGGGCAGCGGGTTAGTTTATTTGGCAAACTTATTTAGGCCTTGAAGATAATTTAATGCATTATTCTGCAGGGCAGCGGCATGCCAAATAATCCCAGGAATTGTGAATGACGTCAAAACCTTGTACAGCTTCCAGAGGTTGGTTGAGCAAACTTGTACATTTTTAGTATATTTTAACTAAATTGTTAGATTTAACTAAATCTATGTATATTATCCCACTTAAAGACGACCTGCTTGGGTCTATTACAAAGCCCAAGTGGACATACCGCCCCTTGCGCGCACCGCAATTCGGAACTCAGTTCTACTACAAGGTTTCCTCAGGGCGGTAACCGCCACCGGACGTGACATTGCTTTCCACTTTCATAAGAAAAACGGTGTGGCACATGCCATGGGTAAAATTTATTTAATATGCATTCAAATTTGTGTATGTACATATTTGACACTATTTGGTATTAAGCTAGATACGTCTTTCATACAGGGTGGTTCAAATGTCTTGCTACAATGGAAAATCTTTGCAAAGGGAAAACCCCCTAAATCTCCATTAGTTAGGGGATTAAGATTTTTCTGATTAAAACAAAATTATTAAACTTTAATATTCAACTCTATGATGACAAAATTCTCAAAAGGTTGAACTTCAGTGGCAAAATTTTGGTAGCTAATGGGAATTTACGAAGTTTTATAATTGCACCCCGACATTTAAACCACCCTGTAAATACGCATCGTTATAAAATAATGCCACGTATTCAGGTGAAGCTCTCTGCAAGGCGAACATCCTTCTGGGGGTGGGACGACATAATGAGGAACTCTACAAAAAACTAGTTCCCAATTATCCCCTCGGCTGTAAGAGGATATGTACAGTAGACTCCATATATCTGCATACCCTATGCATGTGCTATGCTCTGTTGCATATAAAATCTCAACCGATTATCCAAATTTGAAACAACTAGTATCAAATTGCAGGTAATTTAATGGGGACTTGAATTTTTTCTAACTAATGCCCATAACTCGTGTTAGTTGCGGAACACATACTGAAATATAAGATGACAAAATTTCGGCGCGCAAAAGTCTGCGTACCTTTCTGCAATTCGTAAAGTAAACAACGTCCCCTGATTTGTTTGACCAAGGGAAGTTAATAAATACATTTCAGAGATTCATAACAAATATTTTGTCACTCGTTTTACCGTAGGTCATGATGGCGCCACCACGGAGAGAGATTTCCATAGCCATCCGCGATCGGATTATCCAAGATTGGAAAGGTGATGAAAATGGGCGTCTGGGATACAAAAAATTAGGCGAGAAGTACAAATTAGCTAAATCGACGGTCCAGAGGATTGTTACAAATTTCAAACTCACTGGATCAGTGCAAAATAAGAGAAGAAGTGGACGGAAACCAAAGTTGACCCAGAGAGAAGTCCGCCATGTCGTGAAAAAGGTCGTAATATCTCCTTCACTAAGTGCTCCGAAACTTGCAACTGAGGTCGAGGAGATGTTTGGGAAGAAGGTGAGCCACAATACCATCCGGAGAGTACTACACAAGCAAAACCTAAAGTCCCGACCAGCAGTTCGAAAGCCTCTCATCTCAAAGAGAAACGCAACCAAAAGACTTCAATTTGCACGGGACCACACTTCCAAAGGCCAATCATTTTGGGATAGCATTTTATGGAGCGATGAGTCGAAATATAATGTGTTTGGGTCAGATGGACGTCGACGAGTGTGGCGACTACCAAATCAAGCTTTAAATCCCAAGAATCTCAACCCTACCGTAAAGCACGGAGGTGGATCTGTGATGGTATGGGGGTGCATGGCTGCGAATGGGGTTGGAAAAATGGAATTCGTGGACGGAATTATGGACCAGTTCAAATATCAAGGTATACTTGACCGAAATTTGAAGGAATCTGCCAGGCAACTTGGACTTGGGAGAAGATATACATTCCAACAGGACAATGATCCCAAGCATTCTGCGAAGTCCACCATGGAATACTTCAAAAGAAATAAGATTGTCAAATTGGATTGGCCTCCTCAAAGTCCAGATTTGAATCCCATCGAGCATCTTTGGGAACACATCGAAAGAAAAGTCAGAGAAGAGTCATTTTCTGGAATTCCAGGGCTTAAATCGAGGATAGAAAAAGTCTGGAATGAAATTTCTCCCGACGTGACCAGAAATTTAGTGAGCTCCATGACCCGGCGTCTTGAAGCAATTATTAAGGCTAATGGGGGTCCAACTAAATATTAAAATTGTTTAAGCTAAAATGTCTTGCTAAATTTGAATTTTAAATTATTTTTGCTCAAAGGTACGCAGACTTCTGCGCGATTTTTTTTTGCATTGTTTGTCTACAGTAATAATTTAATGAGTAATAAATTTTGATGGCAAACACCATTTTCACCGTTTGTTGTCCACTAAATTCTGCACAAATTAATATTACTCGTTCCAAATTCGGATAATCGGTTGAGATTTTGCATGTAGTTGAGCATAGCACATGCATAGGGTATGCAGATATATGGAGTCTACTGTATGTCCAACTCGTACTATCCCGCCTTGGCGCGCCCTCATGTGGACGTAATTCGCGAAGAAGTGGTCTCCGTGTCTCCCGAGGGGGACATTTCCACCAGCGACGGAACCACGAGACGAGTGGACGTCATCATTTGTGCGACGGGGTACGAGCAAATGACGACGCACTGGTTCAATCCGGTCAAAATATTTATAAAAGAGGACGAAAGTGAAGAGGGCGATGGGATTGATGTCACCAAAGGGTTGAGAGAAGACGCAAACTTTTATCTCGGCATAATGACGGATACCTTGCCAAACATGTTTTTCCTCTACGGGCCGCATTCGGTACGAATATTTTTGCAACATATTTAATGTTAGAAAATTTACATAATTTAAACACGGTTCAGAACATCTACATATGTACGAATTGCTTCATTGCGTTGATGGATGTGTGTGTGAGTATGAATCAGGGTAACGAAAACCCCCAATATTTGCTATTGAGAGTTCTGGTAAACCAGGGGTTTTACATAACTGGGTTAAGGGGTCGTTTGGGTAGTCTGGGGGGCAACCTGAGTCACGACTTTGTATATTAAGTTGTGGTAACAATCTGCTTTTTCCGTAATGTCGCAACAAAGAAGTTTATTGGTCAAAAAGATTTAATCACTTATAATAGCTAGTAATGTCCTGTTATCATACTTTCTTAAATTTGAAACCCCCGACCACAAGTGGGTATTGCTCATATTTGCTACCCAAAACCCACCGAAACCCCGATTTATGTATAATTTTATGTATTTCCAGATTATACCCCATTTTTCTGCCGTTTTTTGTATCGAATATCAAATGAGCTGGATTGTCACGGTGCTCAAAAGGATGCGGAATATGGTCAAAGGGGAAGTTGCGAAAAATGGGGGCAGCCAGAATGTAGTTGTCCGTGTAAAGGAATCCGCCCAGACGGAGGATGTCCGAAATGTCCGGAAAGAGATGAAATATGTTGCACATGGCGGATCTGTAGCCTGCAACGGTTGGGTCGTGGACAGAAAGACGGGCCAGAATATCTCCACTTTTTCCGGAAGTGCAAAAGATTTTTGGTGGAAGTGTAGACGTGTGAGATTTGAAGATTTGGAGTTTAATCTGACTCCAAGTTAATACGAAATCCAAGTAATTGTATAGCACGTTACAATTACTTCTGAAGACGGCGTACGAGTTTGTATAAATACAGTATCCCACTTAATTGTAGATGCAGTGCATTCATGCATTATACAAATCAGAAATACTCCAAGACGGGTTAATATTTCAAACTGATTCTTACACCAATTATCAACAATATTTCGTACTACAATCGTGCAAAATTTCAAATGAATTCGTCTAAAAATGATAAAGTTATAGATATTTAAATGTCAAAAAATTGCAAATTGCACGCCACAAAATTGTAGATGCAGGCGAGCTTAATTGTGATAACGACCCAGTCTGTCACTCTAAAGGCAAACTTCATTCGGGATTGCTTATTATGGGTAAGAACAGTTATTTGAGTTGTCAATAAAAAATATTTTGTGGAAATTGTATATCAAAATAGTAAATAAGAACGAGGTCAATCTAGAAATTCTGGCAGAAAATGTTGCGTGTCATTAAAATGTGCAAAGTTATGGAAAAATTGGCCAAAAACTTTAAATTTCAAGACAACCTGTACCATATATTGTGCAAAAAATGGGATTAGATTGCAACTCATTTTTGTCATTACGACCAGCGTCCAAAAAGCCGTACATCTCCGCGTCATGACACGAGACATATGAGAATTGTTAGGATGGTCCTCGTCTGTTCACACCAAACCTTGCGAGAGGTATCCAAAGGGACCTTTTTACAGATGTTCACTTATAAAAGATTAGAAACAGGCCGCTATTCGCTGAATTATCGAGAGATTTGGCAAAATAAACACCTAAGATCTCAGTGGGATACCACAAGAAATTATTAGCGTTAAGAAGGCAAAATACAGAAGTTCCGCTTGTGACAGGAAATTTTTTTCTTCTTGGATGAGATCAAAATTAAACTTCCTGGTTCAGATAGAGTTACCAGAATGTGGCAGAGGCCAAACAAAAGTGCGAACAATTGATTTCTGAGGCAATTGTTAAAAATACACGTGTCAAGGAAAATCTTTGCTGCCTGTACATTTAGTATGTGGTGTGAAACTTTCGAATTCTTGCCGGAATGTAATGGTTTGAGGCAGTTTCCGATAGGACGGGGTAGGAACATTGAAATGAGTCGCTGATATCATGACAAACGAGGCTTTTCTTGATTTGCTAAAAATAAATCCTTGTCGATTTGCAGCGAAAGAGGACTTTTGTCAGAGATTTATCTTCCAATATTGCGAGAATTTGATAAATATTACAAAAATTATCTGAAAATGTCTCAAGGAAAATAAAATGAAGATTTTGGACGATTGTAGTACGAAATATTGTTGGTAATTGGTGTAAGAATCAATTTGAAATATTAACCCGTTTTGGAGTATTTCTGATTTGTACAATGCATGCATGCACTGCATCTACAATTAAGTGGGATACTGTATGTACATATGTATGCATGCAAATAATATATTCAATAAATTCAAAATACATAACTGCAAAAAAAATTGATTTTGCCAAATTGGATCTTTAGTTTAGCTTGATACATATTTAATTGAGCAGTTATCGAATTTTAACACAAGTCTTGCAGTGAATCGGGAAAGTATGAAATTATGGAAATCGTAAATGCACTTGCAATTATTTCATCGGGATTTTTAATGAAACGTCACCAAGTTGTTTGAGTATGCTGGTACAAAGTGCAGTAATTTTTATTTTTTGACCAATTAATTAAGGTTTTGATTATTAATGTCAGTTCGTTTATTTCTCAGTTAGGTATTACTTGAAAGTGAGTCGTCAAATATTATGTGACAGATTTATGTAATTCATGACGGTGGAACGCTGGGTCAGCTTATTCAAAACGTTTATAAATAAAAGCAATTACGACTTGTATTGAGTTAACATCCTAAATTCCAGTTTTGGCTACAATAACTGGGCCAATTGGAACTTTAATTACTATTTATGTAATTATTTGATCTATTAAATAATATAAACATATATACTTTTAACCTTAAACCGGACCCCCCAGTAATCTCGTCTGTTTTTCACATTTGTGCAGAGAAATTTGTAAAACCAGGTCAGAAATGTACTCCGAATTTGGTTTACGATTGATCCACATCTCTTGCCTGCCATCTGCTCTTTTAGGAACAAATAGCATTCGATTTAATTCGAAAACTAAGACCTTTTACACTACGAAATTCTCCTCCAGAAAACTATTGCTTGTTTCGACCCTGTTAATTTGCCTCGCCATCTTCATATTTTGGCGAACAATTCAACTATTTTTATGAAGAGGGGGGAAATCAAATCCATATTTTCTTATCTGCTACGCGTTTTCATTCACGTTTCTAATAGGTTCGAGCACGTTAATATTTTTAAACGTATATCAGAAGCAAATCTGCCAAGTTACGACACAAATTGTACGATGCTGCTGTCAGTTTGAAGGTGATTAGAATCAGGGTATTCCGACCCAGGGTTTTACTAGGTTGTTTTTTTTTTAGTTTGATAGGTTTTAAGGGGAGTAAATGTTGACTTGGTTTTATTTAAGTTTTATTAGGGTTTATTGGGTTTAAATGAACCCAATTAAACCCGAAAACATTAAAACCCCTGGGTTGTTATTTGTGATTAATACCCTTCGTTTTTCTGAACCCTTCCCCGATCATGACGTTCCCGAAAAAAAAAACTATTTTCATTTTTTAATAGTGTATTGGATGAGGAATTACGACCCGAGAAAATCCTTAACGGGAACATTACTTGACGGAATCCTCTTGTTTAGCATCATATCCTTCTCAGTTACCCCATTGGGTACCATTTTTCACTACTTTGTGTACCCAGAAACACCGGTCTACTTCCCGACAGTGCTCCCCTCCATGGGGACACTAGACATTTACATTCACTGGACTCATGCAATTTTTGTGATTTATTATTGTTACGCATTCTGGGAACACACCATGGTCATTTGTACTCTTGGATTTCTTTATGTTTGTAAGTTCTTAAGGTGTTAGGGGAATGCAAATTGCGTTTAAATGTGACACTATGTATGCTGGTATTTTTACGAATTCGGATGATAAGTACGTTAAAAAACCAAAGTTCGCAAAAAGTTGGCTTGAAAATTCATTTGCGAGCTTACGCATCTCCAAAGCCAGAACATATGTATGTACTTATGTAGTTCACAATTTTTAAAAAATTTGCGATACGAACATGCGAACTCCTAATGAATTCCCAATTTGTCATTTCCATATAGGTAGTTGACTTCAGTTTAATTAACATGTGCTTTGCCTTCCAGTTTCCATTCTACCCCTGTTGCACTGTGAGTTCCGTGTTGGTGCAAAAAATCAAAAGTCGTCCCAACGTTTGAGGTCAGGGTGGGTACTTCCGTTCGAGTACAGGTAATGGTACTTTTACTTTTGATTAATTTCAGAATTAGTGTAGGACCCATGCAAGTCGATGGGTGACATGTCTGAAAATTAGTAAACAGTTCAATTTAGGAGATGCATACATATATTAATTGACGATTAAGGCTTCATTGTCAGTAAATAATTACAAGATTTGAATTGACATGCAATTTTTTCTACTAGATGCTTGGAAATTATACATAAGCAATTCTTCAGTATAACGGGCTGGCTGCTAAATATGTTTCAGGCTGGGCTAGGACAGTTTATCGTTTTCGCTAACGTGTCACTGATCATGTACAGAAACACGATGGGAAGTCACATCCAGGTAGATCAATTTGCAATATTGCGAATTTATTGTAGTCGTCATATTAATAAAATTTTCGGTAATTAATTACTGTATTTCAGTTGCTTCTCTTTTCCTGGTCGATCATTGTTGAAATCTTATGGGTAATTTTTCTCGAAATGGCCGGCCGATTCCATACAAACGCCAAGAGGACGATTTCCTCTTGGAAACAAATGAAGTTTAGGACCCCACAGGAGAAACGGTATATGTCGAAATTTCGGAAATCTTGCCGACCGCTAAAAATTGGGTGTGAGGGACTATTCATTATTAAACGATTGACCGTGCTGAAATTTATGAGGGCAATTATTAAGGGGTGAAAGCCCTTTATAAGATCGTTATGTCCGTCTGTCCGTCCGTCCGTCTGTCTGTCCGTAGCTCCGATAACTTTTGAACGAAAAGACATAGAGACTTGAAATTTTGAACGTGAACTCCTAACGTCAAGGGACAGGACGATTTCGAAGATGGACACTGTGACATCGTCACCTGTGACGATGACGTCGTCACGGTGACGAAAAGTGACGAAAAAGTGTCACGTGTCAGTTTTGACATGTGACACATCATTTTTAATTATTTTTCAATAAAGAATTCGAAAATTCATGTCATTTTGCGATTGGACGTCACCTGTGACGATGACGTCGTCACGGTGACGAAAAGTGACGAAAAAGTGTCACGTGTCAGTTTTGACATGTGACACATCATTCTTAACTACTTTTCAACGTTAAATTCAATGGTGACCTACATTTTGACCTCAGAGGTCATCTAAAGGTCATAGGGCATATATATGTCAATTTAACAGGAAATTCATTTTAACGTATGAAACAGTTCTTTCACCCCTTGGTTACATTGGTTGTAACGGTTTATTAAAGGAACGTTTAGAACGGTTTTGACACTTAATAAGAGAAAGTGAATACCAAGTCCAATTTGTTTAGTGAAAAAAGAGGTTGTATGAGGTTTAACTTAGCAAATAAATTTAATAGATTATGCACAAAAAACGGAGAGTTAAGGAGTATTAATTAGCTCCAGCGTTAATGACTTGACGTACATGCATGTATATTTTTGGAAACATGTATACTCATTGCTCAATTAGGGAATACATATTTTATGTTTCATGTATGTAGTACTTAACTTAATTATTTAACAGTTTGTAACCTAAGATGTGTCAGGTTTAAGGTAAATTAAAGGTCTTAAGATATAATATGTTCGAGGTGTAATTGGACCCATATTTTGATTTCCACCTGCGGCTCATTCCGCTCCACGAAATTGGATGAGAACAATGATGAAAGTCGTAATGGCGGATAAAACCTGAAAGTATGGTTGCCAAATTAATTAGTATCTTCTTAAATTGATAAATATGTACATAATAAATTATTATATGCAAGTCGTACAGAAGTTATTAATTTCCTATTCAATGTGAAAAATCCTCCTACCGAATAAAAACATTACACATCTTTTTTTGCTTTTCCTCGTATACGGAACTTATTTAATATGACAATACGTGTAAATGTACCTGGAGAAATTTTCAGCGGTTCCATCACAATTTGTTTCAACAGGCAGGAGATGTCCTTCAAACGATTATAGACATACAAATATTTTTACTGTAATTTGAAACCCTTTCAATTTAAGAAAAACGATTAATTCCGTACTCACCACTCTCACCTGCGTCCAAACCGTCCCACCAATTAATACCTCGACTTGACATAATTTGCTATAAATTACTCCCTGCACTTCCCTCAATTTTCCAGCATGATTAGCTAACTGATATAACGCTATCAAATGCAGCATCAACTTGACCGTCCTTGTCGCCGCGGGATAAATGCTTCTCATAGCCAGGAGGGAAATCACAGAGTAACTTTCACACGTGATTTGCACCGAGGCATACCCAACGGTCAAGAGAAGACTTATGTTTCCCGATTTTTTACAAGATTCCAAAATTTCTTTGACTTTCGTATAGTCCGCCACCCAATTTTGGAGGCGGGAAGGACAAATAAATCCGCTACTTCGATGACCAAGCTCTTCACTTATTTCGTTAAGGGCATCATTTAGATGAAGAAATAACCCTTCGGTTACCCTTATTGGCGCCATAAGCCAACCCATATACATCAAATTGGCGCAAGTTGACCAACTAAAAATTATCGTCATAGAGAAATGCACAACGAATCCGTACCAGATCTCTGGCTGGTCTTCAGTGGGGAAGAATACTGTGAAAAATGCGGCACTGATGCAGCCCGTGAAAGCAAGAAATACGAAAAATATTAAGGAAACACTGCATCTCAGGTCTCCCCGGAGGGTTGAGAAATGGTTAGAGTTTAGAATTTGGCGGGACCCTTGCAGTTTATCGATCCCGCTGCACAGTTCACCCCAAGTTGTTAAGGTTTTCTTGTGGAAAAATAATCCATGAATTCGGCAAACTATGGAATACACTATGGTCAAAGTGTAGCTAAGAGCAAATGAAATTTTTTCCGTAACGCGTGTAATTTCAAGAGATTTGTGCTGCTCCGCGCTGCTACTGATGTAGCCAAAGATAACAAAACTTTCAATGATAAGGAGAAATATGCACCACCAGGGTGGAAACGAGTTAAATTTGTGAGACAATCTTTTATGGGAAATTTTGAAGGGGAAACTCCCAAAATATTGATTTCCGCGAATTAGGTTTTTTAGCGTGAAAACGAGTCGAGATTCGGTCGTGTCTTGGTTTACGTTTGTGAGTGAGAGGGAAATTAAGTCGTTTAATGGAGGTAAGAAAATATTGTTAAGATGGGATTTTTGCAGGGAGACTTTGTTCGTCTCCATTTTAGAGGTTAGTGAGTGAGAAATGGGCATTAAGTGGTGAGAAATTGATTAAAGTAAAAGGTAGCTGTCTGATGAAAGTGTATTTCTTTATACACCGTATAAAAAAGTTGCATTTGGACAAGTCAAAATCTTGTGAACTTCAGAAAGGGACAACTAAATATATGCATATGTACATATTGAGTTACGACTTTACGAAATTGACAAAATTTCTACTTGTCCCCAGACGTACATATGTATTACTCTTTCAAAATATGCTATCTATTATCCTGATAAAAGTTCATTGATTTTTGGTCATATTTGTTATAATAATGGTAATGAAATTGAAGTGGAGTATGCATACAGAAATTGACGTTTTTCCACTTCATATAAAGCCATTTCCTAAAATAAGCAATTTGTGCTCAAATGTTAAACACGTACCGACCTTCGAATTGGGTCACGTGTTAGATTATGTACATCGATGCAACTCAACTTAACACCAATTTCCATTAGAGATGTACATATTTACTTATGTACATAGGTACGTATATTTTGGTAACTTCATTTGCACACATTTAACTACGCCCATGTTAAGCGATACGGGATTTTAATGTTTTTGTACACTCTATACATCTCTCTTTGTAATTAGCTCAAATGAGCGGGCGCATCTCTCTAAAATTCATGCAAATGAGGTGACCTGCTCGAATAATTCTGGAATATGTACAAGAAACTCGTCAAATTTATGGAATTAAGTCAAATTTATGATGTTTAAAATTTAGGTCACATTCTGAAGTATTTAATTTAATTAATGCGAAAGACTAATCATGTGGTAATGACGAATTTAAATTTAAACCACTTTTAGGTTTCTGTAGAAGTATGCATTTCGTAATATTTAAATTCACGATATGCATAAACTTTTTAAAAAATTTCATATAAGTATTAATTGCAAGTTTTCTTGTGATGCACACATAACCACTAAATTTAAGTGAAGTTTAGGACCACCTACTCCGGATCCATTCCTGGAAATTGCGTGTTAACGAACTTCATGGGAATGAGCGTATCTGAGGACGGGGTAAGTTTAAAATTTCTCAGGACGTGGCACAAAGCAATCTTGGTTTCCAGCATTCCCATCCGCATTCCTAAGGGTAGAATAAATCAATACAAATTTAATACAAATTCTGACAAAAAATTTAAGCAGATGTTTCAAAAATTCGAAAGTTTTTAAAAGTACTCGATTCTCAAAATATGTATACAACTCAACTCACCAATGCAATTCCTGGGTCCTTGACTAAACGGAAGAAAAGTAAAATTCTTACTTGCCCCGGAAAATCTTTCCGGATCAAAAACTCCCGGATTTGGGTAGTACTCTTCATCATAGTGTAAACCGTAGAGCGGAATAAATATGACATCTCCAGCTTTTAAGACGAGGGTAGTGTCCGGGACGGCGTATTTTGTTTTGCACGTGCGTCCCACCACTCCTATTGGCGAGTACATCCTCAAAGTTTCTGAAAAAAAAATTATTTAACGTGTCATTACGGAAGTCACAAACTTCCGATAGAAATTTTCACATTTTGTAAACACATACATGAGATAAGATAAATTAAGTATTATACGCTGACATAGTCGGACAGGTATTGATTTCTCAGCATTAAAGTTGCTGTCGCGTGGCATTAAAATCATACCGGTCCGTAAAAATTTGCTACCGATATGGTAAAACGTTAATAGCGAGCTATTACTACATGGTATTATCCACTCGTAAAATACCACTTGGTATTGCCACATATATGAATACCGTTTGGAATTATTGTAATACTTGATGTCTAGAAGTGTGCAAAGGCCACACATTCAAGTTTACCGAGTTAAAACTTTCATGGTAAACGTTTTGTAGATATTTCCCTACTCGCATTTATTCAATATCTATAAATGTTATTGTCATGTTATACTTATTTATGTATTTTAATATGGCTTTATGTATGCGGCTTACCATTTATCACCATATCCATATAGGTCATTTGACTAACCGCGGCCAAATTAAATTCATCCCCGTTCGATTCGAATAGGGCATTCACCTCTTCCCTTAACTTGTCTTGTACGTCTTGATGCAGCGCCAAAACATACGCGCACATTGATATCAGCGTCTGTGTCGTCTTGTAAGCCGGTAAAACCATGCCGCACAAATTGGCCGTGATCCATTCTTCCTTATCCGGCCGATCCACCACGTGACTCGCGTACAGTTCCTGCCACGTGGAATGGACAAGACCAACGAAATCATTCTTATCTCTGACCTCCTTCTTTTCCTTCGAATTATTTATCTCGATCTGTCCGACGTTACGATAAAATTCAGTAACTTCTTTGTCAATGATTGTAATCTTGAAGTACGTCGCAATTTGAGGAAACCACTGAATGAACCCGGGTTTCCACCAATTCCCAAAGTTGTCAAATGAAAAGACAAATTTTGCCGAGAGTTGTTCAAATCGAGAAGGTCCGCACGTCTGAAGGGATGCCGTCTCCAAATTTAACGGACGGATGTGACGGATCCCGCCACATCGAGCGTATACTTTTGCGCGGCAATTCTGAAATCGATCCCCGTTTCTGAATCCTTATCTAACTCTCGGATCAAAAATTGTACCAAATCCTTCCCAAGTTGATTAACCTGGTCAAAATTATGCTTGATTTTACTCGGTGTAAAGGCACTTACGAATTTTGTCCGGGTCTTCTTCCAGTCCTCGCCTTGCATCCAGACTAACGATTTTGACACGATGTAATCCCCTTTTAAACTGAGCAATGTATGAGGCCTGTCAAATTTGGAGGCGTCCTTTACCAGAATTGATTTTATGAAGGATGGTTTCCTCGCTATGATGAAGTTATGCCCAGCAATTCCGCACCCGGCGAAGTCGGCTTTCGCCTGTTTTACTCGATTGTAAATACACTTTCATCCAGTATCTCGTGGATGAGATTCCGTTGATAAAGTCTTTCGCGTAGTCGATCGAGACGTCGCCGAGGTAAAGGATTCCATTGGATTCAAAATATTCTTGAGTGTTGGGATTTCTTATCAAGTAGAAGTACAGCGCGACGATATGGAAGAGAACGTAATTGGAAATAAGAGTGGTAATCTTTTCTCGGAGAGACATGGTTTAATAATGTCAGATATAATGTCTGGCAATGTGTTATACAGTTTTGTGAAGGTGAGCAACTAAAAACAACAGTTGGGGCGCAAACCATGTTCAGCCCAGAGTATTTTATGACCTTGTTAATTTAAACGAGGAACTCTTTGGAAACATTTAGTGTGCAAAGCAAATGCGAAAAGTCTTGGGCTCTGCAATTTCGCGAAAACGCGCAGCTGCCACCGCAAGGCACAGATTCCGCTGGAAAACCGAGCGTTTTCCAAAACGTGCTGACAAATTTTTCCATCTGTGTTCCGAATTAAATATCATTTCCAAAATTGTGCACTTTAGAAGAAACATGGTGAAAAAATAATCTGTGTTGAACATGGTTTGCGTCCCCGTTGTAAGAAATTCGAAGTCCTTGAAACTTTCCAGACGTTAAAATGCGTAGTTGGGTAAGGTTATTACTTCTATATGTGATCATGTAGAAGAAAAATGAGGGACGCTACGTTAAAGATGTGATCGATTTTTAGTCAACTTCAACCCCGAAGTTTGGTGAACATGGGAGATGGCTATTGACTTCCTCAATCCTGCTAATCCTGCCCCCGACTCTTCTGTAGGGGCCGTACACAATGTATGTGATCGATTGTAGGGGAATTTTTACCTCTACCCTGCTACCCCCCACCCCCCCGGGGTATGCCCCATGTTATAATAAACATGGGAAGGATACATAGAATGTTTTGACCCCTCACAAATCGATCACATGCTTTCTGCAGTCTATGCAGTCCCATACCAAATTAATCACAAGCTTTGCGCACTGCCTCAAGTTCAGGTTGTAAGTGTTATCGTCCCGAACTGGTTGCAGACTTGTGTTACGCGAAATTGTATACATTCCTAGCTTATGTATACATTGTGAATACTTTGTTGACGGCTAATCTGTTGCGAAAATCTGAATATCCACGTCAGAAATGCATTTTCAGGGTTGAGATAATTACCCTTTGATGAATTGTAAAGTTGCAACTTATGCCTGATATTATGAGTTTCATGTTTCATGTATGTATATGTAAATTTGCATGACGATACTTTTTAAGTTGACAAAAACTAAAACAAAAAGTTTCATATAATTTCAATTTTGGTTTAAAACATTTAATTGACTTCAGCCTGCAGAATTTTACGCTGTCAAAATGAATCCGACGTAAAAATACAATTGATATCTCATTTTTTTGTGCACATGCAGTTGTTTAAAACTGAAGAAATATTTTTTGCGCATGCATGTAAATATGTGCATATTTGTTTGTACATATACGTGTAAGGCATGCATAAGAAATACCCCATCTCTGAAATTTTGTATATTGTTCACGTAGGTAAGTATCTGTGTAGTTCTACCCATTTTGTGGACCGATCGTAATTTTTTCTTTACCTTGTATGTGTAGAAGTTTGTTCAACTAGGCGGATGTTTCGAAATCTCTGGGATTTTTTACTCCACAGTGCAACTTCAGTTGAAATTCTAGTCTTGAACCTTTCTAAACGGCATGTGCTAGTTGGATGTTAATTATATAAATAAATTCAATACTGATAACTTTGTTTAATGTGATACATGTACATATGTATTTACAGACATATGTACATATAAAACTGGTGTATCTTTTACACGAGTAGATACATACATACATATTTATATTATTTTGACTTGATACATTTGTAGGATGAAAAATAGTATTCAAGAATAAAATATTTATGAAGGAATACAGAAAGCTTACACGAATATGTAAATAGATACTTGTCTCGAATACTTAACATGTCCTCCAATGCCGATATAAATGATAAAGTACATAAAAAATCAAACATTTATTACTTATCAAAATTTAATATGAACCTACAAATAAGTACAGGTACAATTGGCAACAAAAATGCTGATCGGACCAGAATTAAATTTCCATCAATTTGAATTGACTTCCGTTTCAATTCAGTTATGTATACTGTTTAATAATAAAATAATGTTTTTAACAACTTTATTGTTGATTGGCATGACCGTAAAATTATCCGCATCATTTAAATGAGTACTTATTAGATTAATGACATGTTTGCCTAAATAAGTACATAAGTAGTTATTGTGTTCTTTATGTTTCTTGGATCCTCCAGCCCCCGTAATTCTCTTGACGATCACTCAATTTTAGTACAGTTCACGAACACCTTTTCCGGATCCATTACAGGAACTTGCGAGTTAACGAACTTCATGGGAATGAGCGTGTCTGGGGACGGGGTAAGTCTGAAATTTCTCAGGACGTGGCACAAAGCCATTTTAGTTTGCATCATTACCATCCAAATTCCTACGTAAGAACAAATAAATCCAAATGTAATCCAAATTATAACAATTAAAAAAAACTTTATAAATAGATTATGTTCCACATGTTTCAAAAATTCAAAAATTTTCGAAAAACGATGGGTGGCTTATATTAAAAACTTATATTCGGATTTAGCCTGGTCGGGTTTCAAAACTCATCGATCCGACTCACCCTTTTTGGTGTAAGACTCACCTATGCAACTCTTTAGCCCTTGACTAAACGGGAGGAAGGTAAAATCCTTATTTACTCCGGAAAACCTCTCCGGGTTGAAAACTTGCGGATTTTCGTGATACTCTTCATCATAATGCAGCCCGTATAATGAAATTAGGATTATGTCACCGACTTTTATGACATATTTAGTACCCGGGACGGGATATTCTTTTGTGCACATGCGCCCCAACAATCCCACGGGCGAGTGCATCCTCAAAGTTTCTGAAAACGAATCAAATTGGGGTAACTGTAAAAATTTAGCCGTTTTTAGGTTTTTCAAACAGCTTTAACATTTTCTGGGATTACGAAGAGTTCTCAACACTAAAAACTTGCAAATTTAAGGATTATTGGTTCATTATAACGTTTTATTAGCATTTATTCAAGCCTAGGCGAAAAATTAAAGCTTTTTAATATATGTACAAAGATCCGCTTAAGTTTGTTTAATTGATAATAATTTGTGATTTACCATTTATCACCATATCTACATAGCTCATTTGACTAACCGCGGCATAATTAAATTCCCCTCCATTCGATTCGAATGTAGCGTTCACCTCGTCCCTCAGCTTATCTTGCACGTCTTGATGCAGAGCCAAAACATAAGCACACATCGATATCAGGGTCGGCGTCGTCTGGTAGCCCGGCACAGTCATGCCAAATAAATTGGCTGCGATCCATTCTTCTTCATCCGGCCTATCCACGTGTCGCCCGTACAGTTCCTGCCACGTGGAGTGGACAAGTTGGACGAAATTATTCTTATCTCCGACCTCATTTTCATTCGAGTTATTCATCTCGCCCTTAGCGACGTGACGGTAAAATTGCACAATTTCCTTATCAACCAGTGTAATCTTGAAATACGTCGCAATTCTGGGAAACCACTGAATGAACCCGGGTTTCCACCAGTTCCAAAAGTTATCAAACGAGACAAAAAATTTCCCCCAGACTTGTTCAATATGAGACGGTCCACGTGTCTGAAGGGATCCCGTGTTCAAATTTAGCGTCGTTGATCCCGCCACATCGAGCGTATATTTATGCGCGGCAAGTCCAAAATTGATCCCTGCTTTTGTACCCCTATCCAACTCGCGGTTCAAATATGCCACCAAATTTTTTCCGAATTGGTTAACCTGGTCGAAATTCTGCTTAATTTTACTCGGTGTAAAGGCACTCTCAAATTTCGCCCGGGTTTTCTTCCAGGCCTCGCCTTGCGCAAATATTAATGATTTTGACACGAAGTAATCCCCTTTTAGACTGAGGAGTGTATCCACCCTGCCAAAATGGGAGGCGTCCTTTACCAAAATTGCTTTTATGAGGGATGGGTTTCTCGGCAGGACAAAGTTATATCCGGCCATCGCACATCCGGCGAGGTCAGCATTCGCCTGTTTGATTCGATTGTACACTTTCATCCAATATTTAGTACCGGAAATCCCGTCAATGAAGTTTTTGACGTAGTCGACCGAGACGTCGCCGAGATAAAGGATTCCATTGGATTCGAAATATTCTCGAGTTTTAGGATTTCTGATCAAGTACAAGTAAACCTTGGCGAGAGGGAAGATGAAGTAGATGGAGAAAAGTGTGTTAATCTTGTCTCCCAGAGCCATGGTTAAAGAATGTCGGACAATGTTGGTTGGGCAGCCTGTTCGGTGTTATATATTTGCAGGAAGGTGAGCGACTATGTAAGAACTGCGGAAATTCTGCAAAATTTTGTAGACATTCAACTCTAGTTTTACGTACGTATACTTATTTGCATAAACAGAATGCCCCATGCATGCAGCATGTGATCGGTTTTGGTCAAGTTTAAGTTAGAGTTGACCAGGTTTGAGGATGAACCTGAAGTTATGATGCAGCGGTACTTAAGTGTCCATGATTTGGGCGTAATGCTTCTGTCAAAATGCTTTACGCACTGCCCCAAACTCCGTTTGTAAGTAGTCTCGTGACAGGAACAATAACTGGTAGTGATTTACATATGCAGTGAGAAATTGCGACATAGTGAATAATGCTTTGACGACTAATATCTTGAGGAAATCTGACAACTAAAATTGTGAGTATGCAGAATTATATATGCATTTTCAAGGTTGAGATAATTACGCGTGGCTGGGGATGAAAGAAGGTAAATTTTGCAACGGGAAAAGTCCATAAGTCTCCATAAGTTACTGAAGTTTTGAATTTTGAAATTTTTGACATTTCTTAAGCATTTTGATAATTTCGGTCGGATTTTGAAAATCCTAGCCGTTTCCTTTTGACTAATTTTTTATAGCTCATTGGAGCTCTAAAATTACAAGAGACGGTTGAAAATATAGATCAGTTGACTTATAACATATCATATGCAGTATTTGAGAGAAGCTTCGCCCTTAATTTAGCGTCCTTTACGATGTCAAATCGATCATATGCTTTACGTACTGCCCTAATCTCATTCTTTAAGTAGTTTCGTCCAGAGCAGGAACGACAACTGGGTAGAGAATTGTGCAATGAGAAATTGCAACATTGTGAATAATTCATTATTCATTTAATCTTCTGTGGAAATCTGGGTATCCAGATTATAAATATATGTATGCATTTTCAAGGTTGTGGTGATTATTACTCTTGTCTGTTTGTGTCAGATTTGAGTGGGAATGAAGGATACATATATATATAAATTTGTATATGGGTAAAAATTTTACACATTTACATACCCCCAGTCATAATTTTATCCAAGATCTTGGAACTAGATAACAATGCGATGGTGTGAAGTGTAACCCTCCGATTTGGTTGAAATTTCGAAATTATGTGGTCCATCTCAATACAACCAACATTTCTTGAGGGAATTTGTGCGATGGTCGGAATGTCAAAATATGTGAGGTTTAAGTTGAAAAATGAGCGATTTTCCCTTTGATGGCAATACGAATGAGGCTTACTTCCTCCGCCTGGTAAAAATCGCCCGTTGACTAACTTTGACCTCACATATTTTGACTAATTCCGACAATCGCACAAACTGCCTCAAGAAATTGTGTGGAATGGATATTCCACCCGACGATCCCACCACTCGGCACACCGTGCCACCGTGGCCGAGCTAGACTGTAAAAAGAAGGATCTTCTCTCCGTTTCTGGACAGTCGGACCCGAGTGTGCACAGTGTGAACACCTCCACAACACTTCTCTCCAATTTTTCCCTGCACCACGCCGTCTGCGTGGCTGCCATTTTGGAAATACATTATTATCAAAAATTAAGTTCCTAAAATTCATTTTTTGTACACGTTATGATCGTTTAATGTAAGGAGTAAAGATTTCTTAAAACCTTGTCAAGTGAAACTTATTGCGTACACCGATATCGAACAGTTTATTCGGGTCATTCTCCATATAAATTCGTACATTGAATCGTGCCAGGTGCAGTTTAGTATAGAAACGGTGCATAAGTGGAAATCAGAGTGCAAAGCAAGACAGTATTTTTAATTGCCAAGCGAGAGACAATTTCATCCTCCTCCCCGTGCGTCGTAGCTCTCATCTGGCTACTCCCCCTGTGGCGTGTAAAGGTGGCCGTGACCAGAGGCGTGTCCGCATCCGTCCCCCCAAGGACCCTGACGTCCGGTACTCGATGAGACTCGCCCAACATCCCTTACCGAGCAGCCGCCGCCATATTTTACGCCCACAAAATGTTGGTTGTATTGAGATGGACCACATAATTTCGAAATTTCAACCAAATCGGAGGATTACACTTCACACCATCGCATTGTTAGTACATAAAATGTACAACACAAATAAAGTATACATATGTAATAACCCGACGTGCCACCAGAATTCGCATCGAATTCTGATTGAAGTAGGTGCACGCATTCTGATCGAATGTAGGTTTTGTCGCCTAAGTTGTGTTCGATACGAATTCACGGTGCGCCTTCGATACGAATTCGGGATTCGAACTCGTTCAGAATTCGGTAACCGACCGCGATCGGATTCTGTTCGCGTTCTGATTTAGTACTAATTCACGCATCGAAATCGACTCTGATCAGAATCTCTTCCTATTCCACTTTACGATCGAGATCGGAAGTATAACTGACTCAATAACGAATAAATGCAAATACAAATATTTGAATATACAAATTTTATTTTAGCCAAATCTATAATTTTAATGAATGTAGTATAGGAATTAACAGAAATTCAGTCTTAAATGGTAGCATAATGTACTTAAATAAAAAATCATCTGGTAACAATTCTATTTTAGATAGTTCCGACAGTCCACTAGAAAAAAATATATATAGTTCACTACTATCTATCGGATAATATTCTACACATCGTCTATTCATAAATTCTTGACAAGTGTAATGTGTTATTTCACCAACCTGCTCAAAATTACTTACTATAACTATTTTACCTGATTTTAGCATGTAACAATTACCCCCATTCTTACACATATCTTTAGGCGAAAAATTGACTATTTTTGCCTGATTACACATTGTTATATCTTGATGAACAGCTTCCATTTCCATTATCCTTTTTACAACTTGTTCCAAATGAAAATTATGTGAACTCAATAAGATTTTAATTTTTTGCATAAAACTTTCGAAATGAAATGTACTAGCATTATCCAACTGTCCAAATAATAATGCGTCCTCATTAATATGTAATAACCCATGCACATTATAAACGGCAAATTCATTTCCATATATTTTTATGCAATATTTAACAAATATCTTTAGCAAATTTTTTGCGGTGGTGTTCCACCCAGGATCATTAGCCTTGGGTGATAGAAGTATATAAAGAGCAGTGTGAAATCTCAGATAATTTTTATATTCTTTAAGGGGTATGATGTACCTAAGGGCTGCTACCCCAGTATATAACAAAAGCGTCCTGAACTCAGTCCCTTTAAAATGGTCAATCTGTAATAACGATCTAGGTTTTCGCTGAAAATCTTTTGGAAAATCTTTACGAAATGCAAATAATCGATTACTAATTAACATGGTTTTTCTAGCAAGAAGTCGAAAGGGAAGACGACCTTTTACCCACATGCGACATAATTTTCTAGTAACGCCTAAACATACTAAATGTAAGTAATCCAGCGGAACTTGAGAAACTAAACCAATTTTAAGTTCGGATAACAAAGTCTCTTTTACATGATGAGATTTCTGAGTTTTTAAGGTAAAACTCTCATCTGTTCTTTTTGTAAAAGTAAGATTCAAAAATGTCACCCGACCATTCCAGTCACCTTGTTCAGTACACCGCTCGCAAGAAAAATAACTATTATGCATCTTCACCCCCTTAACAAAACTACGAGCTGGGGCGTCGGCCAAAATTTTCGAAATTCTAAATCTGTAGTTAGTGCCAGACAAATTGATTCCATTTAATTCTAAAACCTTGCATTCCTCAACAAATTGTTTTAAAAAGTCCAAGTTAGTTGGCTTGTGTTCCGCATAATAAATACCGATCACAAAAGGCGTATTGTTTAAAGAATTATCTACTAATCCTAAAATTGGCCAAAACTGCTTATTCGAGCTTTTGGAAATTGGAATGCCGTCAACTCCTATAGTAATACTAATAACTGGTCCTGACCCTAACATATTTTCAATATTTGTGGCTGTAGTTTTTTTAAGACCAGATTTAACCCTATGCATAACGCCACCGATCACGCCAAAGTAAAAGAATTCTCCCCCACTAACTTTATCAATTTTTAATTTGCGTGGCGTTTTCATCAACGTGCGCGGATCAGTTGGCAAATTATTATTTGGATACGAATTTTTTAAAATAACTAGAAGAGATTTAAGAGCCGATTGTTTCACATTATGGTTAACGGTCCACTGTCGCAGCGCTAGGTCGATTGGAGTAATTGTTAGATTAGGTAAAATTGTGCCTACGTTACTGCTTATAATCTCTAACTTCCCACTATTATTATAAATATCCTCTACTGTGGTACTCGTAACTAACTCTGATGCAACTGATTGCCTAACATTATTAATTCTAATTGGGCTTAAATTTAAAGATTGAGGAACCGGTGGAATTAAATGACTATTAAAACTTGGTTGTCGAATTTCACGCAGAATACGGCACCTCTCTTCTATTCGTTGTCGTTGCCTTGTCCGCTGTAAGCTGCGGCCTGACATGATTGTTTTCCTACTTTTCTTGGATCCTTCTTATTCTTTATCCAGGCTCGAATTTTCACGTCAATTTCACTATTGGTGGTGTATTTTGTGTCCTTGTTGAGTCGAACGGATTCTACAGATTTATAATGTACAGTTAGTTTTACGAAAAGTATTGCAACAAAAATACGAGTATTTGTAATATACTTACTGTAAATCAGTTCCAAAATTCGACTTTGTAATCCCACCTCACTTTTTTTTCATTTGCCAGAGTGACTACAAATCTTTGCCAGTTCCGTCGAAATCAATTCAGACAGAATGCGGTTTGTAATCTCTTCCAGATTTCGTCCACCGAGATAGCTTAATTTTTGACACTATTAAATAAATTATTAAAGGTTAGGTGAGATTACGAAAGATTCACATTTCAAGAATAACTGACAGAGTACGTATTTAACTCACCAATGAATTTAAGTGTAACTCGTCCTCATTGATCCAATCAATTAGTCCCTGGAAGTTTTCAAGAGAAGTTGATGGTAGTGGAGGATGCCGAAGTTGCTCAGCAAGGGTGGGTTCGCCTGGAGAAGAAGTTCGGCGCAGCAGTTCGACTAAATTTTCATTTATCTTGACCAATTCCCATACTAGAACGGTCTGCAGATCTAAACAGATTCAACAGAACTTAATTGGTAATTTACATGAATTTATGAAAGATTTGGTGAAATGTTTTACAAACTTTGAGATTCTGCTTTCAATTCATGAACCAACGTGACCAACTCGGAAATTGTTTCAAAACCTGGAACGTCTACAAGAGAAATATTTGGAATAGCACCAATAGTCGAATCATTCAGGGAATTTGAGTTGTTGACACTTGCGAGGACAATATTTTCAGTTTCTGACTGGATTGTTTCCGCTGCCACAGAATTGCTCGACGACTCACCAGTCCCTAAATCAGTTATTGCACCTATTTCGTAAAAAGATATTATTAAGATTAAATAACTTATTATACTCTACCCCAACTAGTTAACACATTTTTTTATGACTTACATATTGGCACAAATGGGATCCGTGTCTGCTTATCACTTTCTTCGGAGCAGCTCGATAAGCTGCTTTCATCCGTCGACGATTCCTCTTGGTTCCTTTGCGCCGGCTTTTTGAGCGAAGGATTTTTCTTTTTCCCCTTGTGTATTTTTCTTGTTGAAATTTCATCCACCCCGGACGAAAGAACCTGGTCACTTTTTTTGGCCTGGATAAGACCCACCTTCGCAGATGCTAGGGAATCTAAAAAATTAAAAGCGAATTTAATACTTACATAAAACTGATGTAATTTGAGTGAAACTTACTAAATTCCTGCATAAAATTGCACGAGTACTTTGGCCAGCTAGTTGTGGGAGGATGATTTTTCTTCAAGTGGTCCTCCGAATTCGGACCAATTGGCCATGAGCAACTAGTCTTTGTGTTATCCAACCATGATGAACAAACTATTGCAACTTTATTTTCTTGATAAAAATTAACAACAGAATAATTTTTTAACTTTTTGCTACTCATTCTGAATGGAAGAAAAAATGGACTAAACACGCGGTGGCAATGAAAATTGAGTTTCCCTCCTATGTCTGGGGAAGACGGGACGAAGTCGTATCACGGTCGGGATACGCATTCAGATTTTACGTGTGAATCCGAATTCGCTCCGACTTCCCAATTGCGCACCCAGTCCGAATTCGAAATACGTATTCAATCAGAATATGAAACGATGCGGAAATACGAATTCGGCACAAAGTCTGTAAAACCACTTCCGCCCGAAGGCGTCTTTGAGTCGTCTTTTCGAAGTCGGTTTTCAGACACCAATCAGGATTCGATGCGAAGTCGCATACCTGATTCTGATCAAATGATGCATTTCAGAATTCTGGCCTTAGTCGTTATCGAGTCGGCGAATTCGCACGAATCAAATCCGACTTTACTGAATTCGCACAGAATTCGATACGAAAGCGGTGGCATATCGGGAAATATGTCGTTTCACTGTGCATAACACATACATTTACATATAAATATGTATTTACATATACTCTTAGGAAACTGGTATTAAATCTACTGCCTCGTATACATATTTGCATACGTATGTATGTATATGATTTTACCGCCATGGTAATTTTAATAATGAGCATGGTAATGACAAATTTGCCACACAAAAGCAAACTACAACCAATCTGATAGGAAATTATTCTCAAATCAATACCAGTATTGAGTATACATGTACGTATCTAATATTGGAGAAGGTCTCTCAGGGTATGCTAAAAGATTTTCTCCAAACTAGTGACAATCGAATACAAATTTAAATAATATTTAAAAGGCACTATATGCCAGTTGTGAGGTTAGGCAGGAAGGTATTTGCAGGCATATGTAAGTATTTGCAACCGAAGAACAGAAAATGGGCAGCAAATTAGGAACATGTAAAATGTGTCAACTGTACATATGCTGCGTTTTCTCCTCTGTCCTAAGCATGCCTCGCTCAGGATGATCGGACAACTAATAATAGTTTAGTAGCTCGGGTAGCTTCGTAAGAATGTATTTTTATGTTATCATGTATATATGATAGTGCAGTCTTTTGTAAATACATGAATACAATTTTACAAATATAATTTATCGAATTCAAGGATCAGTCTGAATAAATGAGGAAATCATACATACGCACCTCGAAGATAATTTTTCTTATGTTTTATTAGACAATTCAAGTTTTTGTCATAAATTTTAAAGCTTATTAAACTGAAAATATTGGTTCAGGATAAAATTATTGCTTGACTCTAATTAATAATCCGAATTAAGTTGCGGCCTAAACTTGGTTAGACGTGGCATTACTGGCAAGTGTTGTTGAACACCATCCCCCATGTCCTTCAGTGACTTCCATATAAGCCGCAGAAACGTAGCCAGGCCCAACCAAAAACCAGTACGGGTTTCCAAAGACATCGTCGCCAACGACACGCTCGAAAACGGGAAGATTTACCCATTCGTCATAAACCGCCACAATAAATGCGCCAAGGTTGGGGTCCTGTAATTTTGATTATAAATAAATAGTATAAATCAATGGTATCAAGCAATCGCCCATTTATTGAAGGGATTCATCATTCCATCGATATTTAGTATCGTAAAATAGTTTACGAAGAAAAAATAAGGCATTAACTTTCTTAAAAAACCTAACCATGTGATTTTTTAAGACACAATCTTACGAAATCTCGTAACCGTCGTAACTTATTTTACGATACGAAGAATTCTAAGAAATCATGAAAACCTTCATTGATATATAAAACCAGCCAGTTATTTAGCATACTTTTCGGCAGTTTAGCGACAACGCGTTGACCACCCTCGCCCTGCAGGACGTTGGACAGCCACCCGACGCGCAAAATAATTGGCGTTCCGACTCCCTCCGCCTCGCCAGACCAAGGAGAGGTTGACCCCCGGCATTGATCCACTTTCTGAGTTCCAAAGATGCCGCGAGAGTATTTCCAGCGTTCAAGTATTCCAGCAAGGCGGAAATTTGAAAGTTCCCGCAGCCCAGGTTGAACGTGAAGGAGACAAGGGCAGAAAACATGTCGGCGTTTAGGCCCGCGAAGGCATTGTAGGTTCTGACGCAACCCTCATAATTTCCGTAAACAAGATCGTCCGCGAGTAGACTTTGACCATCGGCGAGCGAAAGTGGGACCCAATATCGGCCGTTCAGGGGACAGTGCAGTCCCAGACGTGACAAGCGTGACCGTACCCGATGGTCCGGATGCCCTAAAAAGTTCGAATTATGCGTGTAGATATGGTTTCTACTGTAAATATGAGGGACAGATCTCAAATAATTTGTCGGAGGATTTCCTTTTGAAGATACATATTTTTGAGCGGATTGGATTTTTGGATTGATTCGATTGAACGAAATTTTTCATGAGAGGTTAAAACCTGCGCAAATAGAGATTGAGACACATGCGCAATGAAACCTCTCAGGAAGAGTTGTCTCTCGGTTACAAATAAAAAAGTTCTATGACTTGACTCACCACTGGGTCCAAGTAGAAGTCTGGGAACCTGTAAAATTCGGAGTTAAACTTGAAGCTAAAACTTAAGAAACGTTTAATAGTTTACCATCCTTCGTAATATTTGATCACGTCAATCCCTGCCTGGTTTGTTGGACCATCGTAGCCAGCTACATAGTGCATGGGTAAATTTAAAATTTGAAAGTTTTTGCGAAACAAAATGCTAAAAAAATCGACTTACCCCCGTTGGCCATGCTAGCCACGGCTAGAAATGCTAAAAGAATAGGGACTTTCATTTTCCAGTTGTACCCCTGCGGAGAGTATAGTTTGACTGATGGGGTACAACGGTATTTATAGTGCTTGCAGCGTTATGTAAAAAAATCTGATGTGTACAGGGTTCGGTAAAGAGCAAGAAGGGTTTGGTATGACACATTTACATATTAGCAGCATGTCCTTCTATGTATGTACCTCCAGTTAGGCTGGTGACATCTAATGGCATGGATTCATTGAATAGTTTTTGCTAAATAAAATTTTAATGCTGAATTGCTGTTTGCATACATAATATTTTACTTGGCATCGACTTGTTATCCAGGTTTTGTTTTTAGTTAGCTTTTTTGCTATGTAAAAATAATTATGCTCGTACAATTTCTGTAAGCTACAGAAAAGCATTAAACGGTAAAAAAACTGTAATAAAACAACAAATAATTCATAAAGCACGCATAACACGATCAAGAAAAAACCTAATTTTTTGAGGGCCAAGAACACTACATACATACATATATGATATAATATTTATGTAAATTTATCCAATAATAGATAACTAACAGTAAAAATGGTATTGATAAGTAAACACTTATTTACCAGGTGTGGCGGAATTTTAATTATGCAACAGAAATTTTGTAACTGAACACGTGATAACCTTTAAGCTTGTTTTATAATGTGAGATTAGTGATTAAAGTTTTAAATTGGGATGGGCTGACGATCTTGGCAAACATAAAAGTACATTGTTGTTATTCAATACTCTAAATAATCTGGTCACTTATTGCAATGGTTACCTCAATCGTGTACATATTTTGGCCATTATTGGGAAAATATACACTTCATTATGTAGTATGTTCTTTTATTTTAAACATAGTTAAATGTAGCGAATCTTAAATTTTAGTAAAACTTACCTTTCGTACGTGCTATTAAAATCGTATTATACGAATAGATAATAACATTTTAGTTTTTAATTTAATTTTTTAAGGCATTAAAGTGATAAACCTATTTGTCCGATCATTTAGAGTGAAACACTCCAAACCGAATCTGATTACAAATATTGATAACCTGAATAAAGTTCTGATTTGGATTCCATTTCATTACATAAGAAGTCCTGCTATTACTGAAGCAATGTCCTGCATGTTAGGATTACAAGTGAGATTTTTATTGAACTAGGTTAGTTACATATGTTGTTTATAGAATATCAGTCACAAATGTTTGTAGACAATGCTAAATAGATTAACAAATTACAGAAATAACACTTTATTAACTTTATTATTGTGATAAACTTTCTCTATTTGACAAAATTGCGATGCCAATAGCTTATTCCTCTTATAAATTCAGAATTTCATGATAGCAGATAATTCAGGAACGTATATATCAATATCATAGAAATATTACGATTAATACTGATACACCAAGTTATATGATTTATAATTAATTCAGTTTCATGCTGTTAAATAAAATATTTGTAACAAGTAATTATTAATAAGCTCAGGCACAAGCCCCTCGTGGTCAAGGTGTGTGGTGACACAATTTTTCGGGGAATTACTTGTTTCCATCAATTGCTACATTTAGTTTGCATATTATTAATCTGATTATTATACATATGCACGGCAGGCCCGTAGCAACATTTTGTCCGGCCTGGAGAGTTTGGCCGTAGTACGGCCTCATACGCCCCCAAAAATTATTCAATTCCTGATTTTACCTAGTGTATTTTATTGCTGACCCTGATTTTATCTAGTGTATTCTACTACTGGCATTGATCTTGTCTAGTGTATACTATTGCTGACCCTGGCGGTACGGCCTGGAGAGTGTCTCTCCACCTCTCTCCACCTTCGCTACGGCGCTGATGCACGGTATAGTTGTGGGCTAACAATCAGTTTACAACAGTAGAGTAATTCATTTAATTGTCAATAGGTTTTATTTGGTAAGTGTGTGTACATGTTGGATATGTCGCAAATGTATGTACATATGTATGTACAAGATCCAAATAGTACTGCGATTTGATTTGTTATGAAAGTAGGTGATCATTTTTTTATCTTGGAAAATTTTAGAGATATTTGCTTCTACGTTTGCATGTAAATACCTCCTGACTTCACGATAATTTTCCAATCTTTCAATGCTACATGTATGTAGAAGAAACAGTCAGTAATACATTAAGGAGTTTGAAAACTATCGTCAGATTATGAAGCATAAACGCAATAATAGTCGTCTAACGAAATTAGCACTCGGATCAGAGTTGTAAGTATTTCTATAAATTTTAAGCAACATTTATATTTTAAATTTGTCACACCGTTTAATAGTAAGAAAATTGCTCTTGAAACATTTTTGTTGTTATTTGCTAACATGAAAAACTACCTGCACCATTTAAATACTTATCACACCAGTAACATAATTACATAAATACTTTTCGTATTATGTATGCCTCTTGGATGCTTAATACACTCGTAAATCTATGCAACTCTTCTCCTAACGATCATTCAATTTTAGTGCAGCACACGATCACCTCTTCCGTATCCATGACTGGAAATGCAGATTTAACGAACTTCATGGGAATGAGAGTTTCTGGGGATGGAGTAAGCTTAAAATTTTTGAGAACATGACATAACATCATTTTCGTCTGCACCAGGGCCATCCGAATTCCTGAAAAGTATAATAAATCAATTCAAACAAAATATACATACTTTGGACTCAAATAATGCTGTTTAGCAAAATGCTAAAAAATACGCATGATACAAAAACGTATGTATGTACAAATATGTTTCGTGTCAAAAATAGACCACATAGAAAAATTTTCAAAAAATCAAGAAACGTTGAGTTACCTACATATTTTTGAAAAAGGCATAATTTACCTATACAATTCCTGGGTCCTTCACTAAATGGGAGAAAGGTAAAGTCCTTTTTTGCTCCGGCAAATCTTTCCGGGTCAAAAACTTCCGGATTTGGATGGTATTCTTCGTCATAGTGTAAACCGTAGAGCGAAATAAGAATTATATCTCCGACTTTTAGGACAAGTGTGGTATCTGGAACGGCGTATTCCTTTCTGCACATGCGGCCCACCAGTCCCACGGGTGAGTAGATTCTCAAAGTTTCTGAAAAATGATTGAAGTACATATGTTATATTTTCATAGTGTGAAAGTATACATGCAAACAAATGGATACATAAATCGAAGACTTGCGTACTCTCTCATACGGAATTTTTCACTCTTTGTAACGATACATAATGCTTTCCAATCGTACAAATGATATCTGCACCCATGTTGGTATTATGTACTTACACAAACCGTGTGCGATCCCCAGATTGGAGTCGCCTTCTACATAAATATTGAACACATGACATCCGTAATATTTAATCCATATGTACTTTACTGTTGGGCCAAAAACGAGAGACCAATGTTCTTAAATTCCTCAAAATTATTTTTGTTTCGTGTAAACAGACTCTGCCAGACAACCGCTCAGACTTTTTGTATCTATTTTTTTTAAAGGAATGTAGTATACATAAGTACGTATAGACATGGAACTATCAGACCACTTACAATGAGGAGGTGTGAGGTGGTTATCGCCGATATCCACCGGACTAATTTTAAATTGTTCACGTTCAAAAATAAGTGGACCCGTATTTTTTCGTTTTCCTGAATGGGCATGTTTACGCCCTTGGCGGAATGTTCAAAAAAAATTCAGCCAAAATTCGGATTTTTAAAAACACTGTAACTTTTCGAATTTTAACCCGATTTCAAAAAATAAACCCATTTTTTGTTCAGAATTACATCCCTAAAAATATACAAATTCATTTTTAAGAAACTTTTAATTTTCAAAAAATTATCGTTTTTTGAGTTTATAGAAATTCAGAAATAGCAAGAAAATATCAAATTTTTAAAATTTTCAAAAATGAATTTTTATATTTTCAGAGATGTAATTCTGAACACAAATTGGGTTTATTTTTTGAAATCGGGTTAAAATTCGAAAAGTTACAGCGTTTTTAAAAATCCGAATTTTGGCTGAAATTTTTTTTGAAAATTCCGCCAAGGGCGTAAACATGCCCATTCAGGAAAACGAAAAAATACGGGTCCACTTATTTTTGAACGTGAACAATTTAAAATTAGTCCGGTCGATATCGGCGATAACCACTTCACACCGTCGCATTGTTAGTAATACCTCGTCCCTAGAAACTTCCAACGCATTGAGAGTGCGTACATGCATACATAAGTCTCCATTGTAACCGTTTTCAAACTGACAGATCTTAATGTCTCACGTTTTACAATCTTAGAAAAAGATAAACACAAATTTCCAATAAAAAAGTCATACATATAACTATTTATTACCGTTTATCACCATTTCGATATACGTCATTTCATTCACTGCTGCAAAGGTGAATTCGTCCCCGTGCGACTCCATCATTGCGTTCACCTCGTCCCTCAACTTGTCCTGCACGTCTTGATGTAGCGCCAGAACGTAAGCACACATCGCGATAAGCGTCTGCGTCGTTTTGTAGCCGGGCAAAACCATGCCGAACAAATTGGCCGTGATCCATTCTTCTTGATCCGGTCGGTCCACGTGGCCCCCGTAAAGCTCCTGCCACGTGGAGTGGACCAGACCAGCGAAATCATTGGCATTTTTATCTCCCCCAGAATTTTTCATGTTTTCCCTCGTAACGTGACCGTAAAATTGAAGAATTTCCTTATCAACGACTGACAGCTTGAAATACGTCGCAATTCTGGGAAACCATTGAATTAAGCCGGGTTTCCACCAATTCGCAAAGCTATCAAATGAGAGAAAAAATTTGGCCGAGATTTTTTCAAATTGAGATGGCGCACGCGTCTGAAGGGATGCTGTGTCCAAGTTCAGCGTCGAGGATCCTGCCGCATCGAGAGAAAATTTATGAGCGGCAATTCTGAAATCGATCCCTTTTTCTGGATCCTTATCCAACTCTCGGTTTAAATATGCCACCAAATTCTTCCCGAGTTGATTAGCTTGCTCGAAACTCCGCTTGACTTTACTCGGTGTGAAGGCACTTTCGAATTTTGCCCGGGTCTTCTTCCAGTCCTCACCTTGCATGAAAACCATCGATTTTGATACGATATAGTCCCCTTTTAAACTGAGCATTGTGTGAACCCGGTCAAAGTGGGAGGCGTCCTTTACCAGAATTGATTTTATGAGGGATGGTTTCCTCGGGATGATGAAGTTATGTCCAATAAATCCACACCCGGCGAGGTCGGCTTTCGTCTGTTTTACTCGATTGTAAACCTTGGTCCAGATCTCGGTGGATCCATATCCGTTGAGGAAATCGTTAGCGTAGTCGGAAGAAACGTCGCCGAGATAAAGGATTCCATTGGATTCGAAATATTCCTGAGTTTTAGGATTTTTGACGATGTGCACGTACAATTTGACGAGAGGGAGAAGGACGTATCTGGAAATTAATGATATGATCTTTTCTCTCAGAGACATTTTGTAAGACTGGAAATTGTGCAAGTTGAGTAACGTGTCTTTAATGAAGAGGAAAAATTTGAAGTGAGGAAAACTGGATTGATATTTAGTGCGTCGTGTAATTAACATACATACTCTTAGAAATCCAGTATGAAAATAATAACAAGCGGTATTCATACAAGTATGATTTTACCAAAGTAGTATTGACAAATACTTACGTGATACCGGGTAATAATGAGGTTTTACTATATCGGTAGTAAATTACACTTTTAATACCACCCGGTAGCAACTTTACTACCTAGAGATTACTACGTGTGCTTATTTATCCCAAATTTCTAACAGTGTAAATATACAACAGTGTGAAGGAGGCTTGAACCGTGAGGAAAATTATGTATTGTGAGAAATTATTTTTGACTTGCATAATCATTTTTCCAGCTAATCAATTGTGAAAATCTGAATAACCATGTTGCCTTATATGATTTGGGATTAATGGAAATCCCACGAACAAGAAACCGAAAGGTGAGAAGTGAGAGGGTATTTTCATTTTACACTTTTTTTTACATGAAGGACCAGCATATTTAGCTATAGCTAAATGTATCTACCTACACATGTGTAGGTACATACATAAATGCATATCGATTTACTGCTGTTGAGGCTCTAAGAACTGAAAGATCCCACATGCATAAATACACCGTTAGTTCTAAAAACTAATTTGGGCGAAACAAATTTTTAAATAGATTTAAAAACCTAAAATCGGCGGCCAAAATTGGGAAGGGGACTATAAATAGTCCTACCTACTGCTGCCACCTGTTATATCCAAAGCATTCCGCATGCCAAAATAAACTTACAATGGAACATTTTTTCAAGCTATGTACATACGAAATGAGGTACGATGAAGTGAAATGAAATGAATTTGAAAGAAAATTACTGAATATAACCGAAAATCTTCAGTCAGAAATGTCGATGACTGACTTTTGAATGAAAATAAAAATGAACGGGTTTAGCATTTTTATTTGCAATGAAAGTAAAATTAGTTGCACATCACTTAAATTCAGTACTAGTTAAATTAATAATATTCTTACATATTTGTGTACATACATACGCAAATATGTATGGATTTATATTTATTGTAGTACATACATAAGTACATATTTGTGTTTCTTGGGCCAATAAAATAATGGTAAACGTAACTGCTCTCTGACAAACATACAATTTTAAATCTAATTCCATAAATTTTAAAAAACAGCCTCATTTCAAATTATGTAGTGGCACTGCTTAATATTACCAAATTGTTTCCAGCAATCTTTTGTAAATATGTCAAAGTTAAAAATTTGTTGCAGCATTAACATATGTGTTAAATTAGTTACACGTACTTCTGTACATAAACGTTTATTGTACATATTCTCCGTTTCTTGAACGTTCAAGACAATCGTATAATAAATCTAATTGTACTCCAGTTGCTCACTCAATTCTAGTGCAGCACAGAATCACTTTTTCCGTATCCATGACTGGAAATGCAGATTTAACGAACTTCATGGGAATGTAAGTTTCTGGAGATGGAGTGAGATTAAAATTTCGGAGAACGTGGCACAACATCATTTTTGTTTGTACCATAGCCATTCGGAGTCCTGAAATAAATTCACTTATGTAAAATGTATATTAAGGTGATAAGAACAGATACTACACTTTGATCTTAGCCAAAAGCCAAGAAGCAATGTAAAATGTATATACGTCGTTCAAAAAACTGAAAAGGGTGCTACCCACGTGCTAAAAATCTGCTATGCAAAATCGAGTGTAAATATCTATGTACATTGTTCAGCTTGTTTCAAGAATAGGTTGCAAAAAAATTAAAAATACAAGCAACCTGATTAAGATATTTTCGAAAATAACCCAGAATTACCTATGCAATTCCTAGGTCCATGACTAAACGGGAGAAAAGAGAAATCCTTATTTGCGCCAGAAAATCTTTCCGGGTCGAAAACTCCCGGATTTGGGTAGTACTCTTCGTCATAGTGTAAACCGTAAGTCGGAATGAATATTATATCTCCGACTTTTAAGACAAGTGTAGTATCCGGGACGGCGTATTCCTTTCTGCACATGCGCGCTAGCAATCCCACGGGCGAGTACATTCTCGAAGTTTCTGAAAAACGATTAAAGCATACTGACAATGGAGGTCTCCCAACGTATTTTCACAGATTTGGACCAAACTAGTGTCAATTAATCACAAATTTAATTATTGTGCAATTTGCAAATGGAACTATTTGCCAATGCGCACGTTTGGCGGAGATATTTGCAGGAACATAGGATAAAACGCGTCACAAAGTTGACAAATTTTACATTTTCCAAACATACTGCACGTTTTCTCCACTTCGGATGCAAATATCTATGCCAAACCTGCGAATTGGCAAATAGTTCGATTTTCAAATTTCATACTAATTGTATCTGTGGTCGAATGACACTAGTTAGATTCAAATTTGTGAGCATATGTATGTTGTGAGATATTATGATTTGTCTAATCGTAAGTACTCTTTCATATTTTCACTTTTTTTAACGGGCATTAATTCATAGAAATGGATTGTACTAATTACAGAAATACCCTGGCTGCCCCCGATTGGAGTCATTTCCTCGATACATAATGGTCAGGTCACATGACATATGTACAATATTGTTCGTTCAAAAATGGGTACTGGTACTAGTTCCCAAATTTTTATAAATTATTTTGTTGAGCCATTTATACAAACTCTGTGGGATAATCTCTTGGATTTGTATATTTTTTAAACGAACAATAGTCTTGTGTTACATAGTATTAACATCGAACTATCGGATGGGTATGGAGAAAATTAAAAAGAAACTCTAAACGAACAAGTCATGTTTCAGCATTACCGTTTATCACCATTTCGATATACGTCATTGCACCAACTGCTGCAAAATTGAATTCGTCTCCGTTCGACTCGATCATAGCGTTTATCTCGTCCCTCAACTTATCTTGCACATCTTGATGCCGCGCCAAAATATACGCACACATCGCCATCAGCGTCTGAGTCGTCTTGTAGCCCGGTAAAACCATGCCAAACAAATTTGCTGTCATCCATACTTCTTGATCCGGTCGGTCCACGTGACTCCCGTACAGTTCCTGCCACGTGGAGTGGACCAGACCAACGAAATCATTCGAATTTTTATCTCCTCCAGAATTTTGCATCTTCTCCCTCGTAACGTGACCGTAAAATTGAAGAATTTCCTTATCAACGACCGTAAGCTTAAAATACATCGCAATTCGAGGAAACCATTGGATAAACGCGGGCTTCCACCAATTCGCAAAGCTATCAAATGAAAGAAAAAATTTGGCCGAGATTTGCTCAAATCGCGATGGTGCGCGTGTTTGAAGGGATGCCGTGTTTAAATTCAGCGTCGAGGACCCAGCCGCATCCAGAGAAAATTTATGAGCGGCAATTTGGAAATCAATCCCTTTTTCTGGATCCTTATCCAACTCTCGGGTCAAATATGCCACCAAATTCTTCCCGAGTTGATTAGCTTGCTCGAAACTACGCTTGACTTTACTCGGTGTAAAGGCACTTTCAAACTTGGCGCGGGTCCTCCTCCAGTCCTCGCCTTGCATGAACACCATTAATTTCGACACGATGTAATCCCCTTTTAAGCTGAGCATTGTGTGAACCCTGTCAAAGTGGGAGGCGTCCTTCACCAGGATTGCTTTTATGAGAGATGGTTTCCTCGCTATGATGATGTTGTGTCCAGCCAAGCCACACCCGGCGAGGTCAGCTTTCGCATTTTTTACTCGATTATACACATGCGTCAAGAACTCGGTGGTTCCAAATCCGTGCAGAAAATCGTTGACGTAGTCGACCGAGACGTCCCCGAGATAAAGGATTCCATTGGATTCGAAATATTCTTGAGTTTTAGGATTTTTGACCATGTAGGCGTACAAAGTGACGAGAGGGAGGAGCACGTAGGTGGAAATGAAGGATATGAGCTTTTCTCTGAGAGGCATTTTGCGAGACTGGATATTGTGCGAGTTGGGTAACGTGTCTTTAATGAATAAGTGAGGAAAACTGGATTGATAAGTATTTATACTTCGTCGTTTAATTTACGAACACTCTTAGAAATCCAGAAAAAAATAATACCAAGATGTACTCATATATGATTTCATCAAAGTGGTATTGACAAATACTACTGTATAGTAATAGCCCAGGGTTAAAGTTTTACTATATCGGTAAAAAATTTATACGTTGCGATACAATTTTTCTACCAAGCGGTTGCAATTTTGATATCGACAGATTTATACGTGTGACTACTTATCCCAAATTTCTAGCAACATAAATTTCTGTAAATATACAACTAGGCGAATTAGGTATGTAAATACATATGTTCCGTGCATTTCGAATATGATCGACTTTGGATAAATTTTGACAGTTGAATATTTCTAGATATTCTTTCAAATTGATGACGCGGTTTATGCACTGTCCTCGAAGTTGTTTGGGTACATACATGTATGTATTCGTCCTGAGAGTAAGAAAAACTGCGCAGGGAAATTAGATATATGCATATTATGAGAAATCATTTTTCCAGCTAATCTATTGTGAAAATCTGAATAACATGTTGTCTTAGGATTTGGGATTGATGGAAATCCTATAAACAAGAAACCTAGAGGTGAGAGGGTATTTGCATTTTACGCATTTTTATATGATAAATTTATTAACCCAGCATATTTACTTCGTACAGAAATATAGTTTCCATATATTTTTTTTTTTTTTTAAAAAAGGGCAAAATTAATTTTATTCCAATTTAAGTACATTTCACATCAAATTATTAAAATAAATATTAATTAATATGTTGAGGCGACGTCTTCTAAACAGGACTTAACTTTTTGGCCGTCAGGGGTAGAAACTAAGCCACTGCCTGTTATTCTCAATCTTCTGGCCTCTTAAGATATTATTACTCTATTAATACATAATTTGTTTGCTTAAACTAATTTATTTATTTGGATTAGTCAGGCAAGAAAATATAAAAAGAAAGTTAGTTATTCAAAAGCCTAAATTTATGTTTATTTTATTATTATCAATTGAGTAAATTTTAAATTTCTCCCATTTCTTGTAAAACTTAGAAAGTATACTTTTATTTAAGTAACATGCATGGAATTCCATAAGTATACGTCCATAGACCATGTGACGATAACTGGAGATTAAATCATAATTACCAGAATAATTATTAAGTTTATGTATAAAACATTGATAGATAGCATAATAGGCATAAAAGATCAGAATGTTTGCACCTACATGCTTGGTGCCATGCCGAAACGCTTCATCGAAGGCTTGTGTGCAAATATTTACCTTTGTGAACAGATTGGCAACCACTTGCCTCAAATCTGTGACATATGAACATGATAAATAGTGTATGACTTTAGGGTGCACGGAAGCACAAAATGGGCAACAATGATTATCGTAAATGTGTAGTGATTGTGCAAGTGATGGAGTGAGTCCCACGTTATGCCAAATTTTGAAAACGGTATCTTTTTCGGGGTTGGATATCGGCGTGGTCACTAAATGCTCCCACTGTGGAAGCGAGCAAAAATTATTATCTAGCTCTTCCCACTTGATACCTACGTGAGATCGTAAACAGTGGAGGTAGTTGGTCTCTTTGACTACACTGACTAGTATGGACTTGTCATATAATGAGAATAACGCGAGTTGAGTATTAGTGGACTCGGTAACCATGGCAACCACATTAACATGTTTCGCCCTCTCGGCTAATACATGTCTATGCGTTGCTCTTGGCAACGAGTCTAAATTTGTTAAAAATTGCTCTGCAAATAAATCTTTGATTTTAATTACCTTACATCGACTAATATAATTATTGCTGAGATCATGGAAAACTATTTTACTATGAATATGAATCTCATTAAGTATGTCCTTACTACAAGAGGTAAGCCTTAGTCCAAGCAGTTGGGTCATGGTCTGGATGTTAGTGAAAAACGGTGACAAATTCATATCACCATTTATAAATTTAGATGTCTGCAACTCTGACTCTGTTAAAAAATATGTATTATTATTTTGGGCCATGATTTTCTGAACAAATGTAAGTCTGAACGTGGCAATCTGCGCTGCTGGACTGCGCACGCCAAGACCCCCATTTAAGATCGGCAGGTAGACGTATGGACGCGCTACCCACCTTTTGGATGTTGCCCATACATAATTTTCAATTTTCGAACAAATCAAGCCTAAAAAACTTTCTGGGGGATCTAATACCTTTAGCACATACCAGAATATTGGGAGTAAAAAAGTGTTCACGATTTTAGCTCTGGAAAAATGACTAACAGGGGCGCATTTCGTCGTATAAAATTCTAGTTTTGAGTCAAATTTAGTCATCATGGTCAAGAAATTTTGGGCCATATACCTCTTATGCCCAAAGTAGATTCCCAAAATTTTCAAACCGTCAGACACTACTGGGAATTCTACCGGGATTTGAAGATTATAAGCTCCCAAAATTAGAATATTGGACTTATTACTGTTCAGTTTTGAGGACGAGAATGCGGAAAACTTTGTATATTCGGATACGACAATCGAAATCTGATTTTGATTACCCAACAAAGCGTTGGTATCATCAGCGTAAGCCGAGAGGTAGATATTTGGGTGTCTGCGCCATGCGCTAGGACCTGAATCTCTCAACTTGTTGTCTAGATTGAACAAAAAAGGTTCGATCGCAAGACAGTATAGAGAAGATGCTATTTCCATATAAAGTTAGCAGGTGTATCTCAAGACTTTATCATCGAAACGAGTAAATTAAGTTGCTACTTTTTTATAATTTTGCCAATTCGTCGATTAATGACCTTACATAAGTCTAATTGATTATACCAAATGGAAATCCCAAGCTAATGTATAGATGGTCATGTGTACAAAAAATAGGATTTACGGGGTGAGGATAGTAAACAATAAATACGCATTTACATACTTAGCTACGGATTTAATACGGAAATCATGTTGTAATCATGTCCTGCAGACTCAATATGTATACTCAATAAGCAAGTATGTATGTACACACAAATTATACTTCAAGTGTCACCTGCGAAACTAGTCACACATACATTTGTACATACATTAGGTCGCATAGTTGATAGTTTCCTGAACCCTTGAAAAAGCGTCGGAGCAAGAAGACGATTTGGTATAATTTGAGTTTAACGGATACGGACTTTGTAACTTTGTCGCACTTTTTCAGTCGGCAGAATCACCAGGAATTTACCTGGGCGTCTATACTATGTACTCGTACATATGTAAGTACATATCTATGGTTGTAACCTTGTTTAGACTTGTCTGCCGGATGTAGCAAATATTTAGAATGCTTAGAAAAGTATGAATGGAGTAAGGAGAATTTATATCACTGTATGACTATAGTCTTAAATATATCTTAAAAATATTACCGTATTTACGTCCAACAGTATGAGCAACATGTCTACTAGTAGTAACTTACTACTAGTAGACATGTTGCTCATACTAGCTTACTAGTAGTAAGTAGTTAAATGTATAAGACCAAAAATTAAGTTTAACCTAAGTCCAAATGATCTAAAGAAATAAAATCACAGGTAAATTTTACGGCATATGCGTAATTTTAAAATCTTCCGTTTAACTTTGTTCACTTGTGTGCTAAAATCCAGGCCAGCCAAATATTTGTATAATCGAATCCAAAGCCTCCACATGACCGCATAATTCTCCAAAATTAAAACAAATCCCCCCAACAATAACAGACATCCCGTTCCCATAAAAAGCGTAACTATCCCTCCCACCAGGGACATTGGCTTGTCTAACTCTTCCCCATTGGGGACTGCCCTACCCCGCCGGGCAAGTCTCCCTCGAGCCACTTGCTTTTCCACCCCTCATAAATTCCAGACTCCAAGATTGCCGCAAAATTCCTGGGCACCTTTGACCCCCCGCTACCTTTAAAGCTCCACGCCCTCAAACCCGATCTAAAGTCATCTATCCCCTTATAAAACTTCTTCCTAGGATATTTTCCCGATAAATAGACAAATTCTTTATCAACGTTAGTCCTCTCTCCGATTAGGACACTCTTTTCGCAAAGCGCAATCTCCTTTTCGGCATAACCTTGATACATTTCCATCGCCCTCCTCCTATTTTTCAGGAACACACTTGCCAACCTTCTCGGATAGATGGAATGCTTGTCGCTCAATAATAAAAATTCAGCAAGCTGACTTCGTCCCATTTGTGCTACGCCTCCCACTCTGTCCACATGGTGTAATTTAAGCTGAATTTCTTTTCGAATATCCACCAAGGCATAAGCAAGCATTGGCATCCGTTCGTATTTGTAGTTTTGTGCCATCAGAAATCGAAAACAGCCAGGGTCGTCCCATGAAAGCGATAAGTTTCTAGGTTTTCTTGCGAGGATTTTGGCCAAATCTGTACTAGTAATGTTAACCAAAAACCTAGTTTGCCTTGTCAGAATGGATTTTTCGCACACAAGATCCTCCAAAAATTCGGGCGTGGCGCCACGTAGCGGCGCGTTCAACTCGGAGATAATCAGGCTGCTGTAACAGTTCATCAAAAGTAGGGCAACTGGGCCCCAAGCGGAAAAAATGATGCGGTAAAACTGCGATCTTTCTAGCCTCTTGGGTACGTAAGGCGTATCATCAAGTAACATAGCGATAAATAAGAGCCACATCGAACTGTATGATGTTCCATTATCAGGAAAGTAGATCCATTTAAAGGCCATTAGAAGGGTTATCAGCATACCCAGAAAGATAAGCAACGTGCCCCACAAGTCAGGCTTAAAAGGGGTGAGGTAAAACTCAAAAGAAATATATTTCTCTTCATAGCACGAAAGAAAATTGAAACAGCTCATTTTCGTGACCACATTTTTGGTCGATTTAGCTCCTAAGTGCACAGTGTCGGAAATGATGGCAGGAGAATAATGGGACAAGGTCAAAGAAGAATTTGACCTTTAAGTAATAATCTGCGCCACGTGGAGATAAATATCGAACAGAGCGGTATACTCGAATGGGTTAAGGTG